GGGGACCAAGACATGAAAGTTTCCATCCCACTTCCAAAACTTGTACAGTTCCTAAAATATTGTTGATTCTTTGGATTGCTCAGCTTGATTTTACAAGCTCACACTAAACTTTTGAATTTGCAATAACCAGAAACAAATAGTATATATTCACACATTAAAAGGAAGTCATGGACTTACTATCTTCAATAATGCTAAGGAAGAGCGACCTACCTACCTTGACCATACGGACCTGCACCAAAAAATATTGAACATAAGATCCAAGTTCACAAACATGACATTAAGAAAGAGATAATATAAATCCAGAGCAGTAATCAGTTGTAAAAGTGATGAAGGTGACTAGATGATACCTTTGTCCTAACTGAAAGTGGATTGGCAACTATGAACTTGAAAAACTGAGGCAGATATTTGCGTTCACCATCACTGTCATTGTACATAGCAGAGCATACCAACCTAAAAATGACAGAGATAAGAAAAATTTAGTAAAAGGAACCGCAAAAGATAAACATACAATTGAAATAACCAACTTACGTGTGTGCCCCTAGTTCTTTCACATCATGTTCGACTATAAAATCGTAACGTCCCCCAGCGCGTATTGTTTCAACAGGCGATTTGGAAGTATCTAAAAGCAATATCCTCTGCCTTTCTGTTTGAATTTCTGCCTGTAACCAGAGACAGATCAGAAAAATTTTAGCAAAACATTAACATGATTCTACAAATTATACAGCTGAGCTTATAGAAAGGAACATATAAGCTATTTCATTGTTTTTTCTGTATGATTTGTAGTTAACATCACCCTAATTTTCTCTAACCAAAGAGCCTCAATACAGATTAGTTATAGCTCATAAGCATCCATCTTGGTGCGGGGCATTGAGCTTGGTTGATGTGCAGATCTTAATGGTGCCGCGTGTCATGACAAGTGAGCATGGAGGGATCTTGAGAGGTCAACTATTGGGTTTGACCATCCTAAGGATCAAACATTATCATTTTGTACAGCTTATGATAAAGCTGAGGATTCCTAGGAAAGTCAAGTGATAGCATTTGAAGCAATGGAGCTTTACTGGTGTGCAAGTTTGCACGAGCATGCAAAAGAGGCAGCAGAAAAAATGTGAGCATCTGATTGCAAGTAATTGTTTGTGCAAGAGAGAGCAAAACTAAGGGGAAGCACTGCAATGGAATGACAGCTCGTGCAGGTTTGCATGAGCATGCAACTTACCCAAGCTGGAATTTTTGGACTATTTTATTGCTTTAAAATAATTTAATCTTAGCCCTTCATTGAAATCCAAGGATCATCAGTAGACGTTCCTTAAGGAAACCTAGAGTAGTAGTAGTAGTAGTAGTAGTAGTAGTAGTAGTAGTAGTAGTAGTAGTAGTAGTAGTAGTAGTAGTAGCAACCCCTATAAATAAGGTAAAGAAAGCTTGTATGGACAACTTTTGATGATTTATGAATGGATGAATTTTTCACTCTCCTGAAGCATATTTGTGAGCGTTCAAGATCTTAGTGATTTTTCTCAATCTTATCAAAATTGTGTGAGATTAAGATTGAAACCCTTGATTTCATTAACCTCTGTGATTAGTGAATCAAGTTGGTATCTTTATTGCATTTGTTTAAGTTTCCCAGAGACCCAAAAAAAGATTGCATCTTCGAAAGTCAGCAAATTTCAGATATTTAATTGGTTTGTTGATGCTTACACATCAATATAATATCTACCAAATATATCATAACAGAAATCTTAAAGTTATTCCGTGACTAAAAGACCATTGTCATCAGAAACAGATCAGTTCCTACAAACCGACAAAAAATAGGATCAAATTTCCGAGCATATAGTCCAACTTCAAAAGTTACACAATACCTTGACTAGAAAAACCTATGTCATAAATCCTACATTTGGATAATAAGGAATAATGCGGTGCATTCATGCTAAGTGGTAGTGGTTTGCCGTAGAGATCCACTAAGTTAAAACAACCCTTACAAGTTATAAGAGCTTATCAACCAAACCTAATACGTAGTATTTCAATATCTTGTCATAAAAAGTCATAAGTAGCGATGATTCTAGATAATTTCATAACTCATAGCTTACCAAATTACAAAAATCTGAAGCTAAAGCAATCATCGTTTAGCCAGCTAACAAAGACCGAGTTTCTAATATTATACTCCACGAACTAAATCACCACCAGTCCATAAACAATATCTCCACCAATTAATAACACAATTTTGTACTCAGCAAAAACCACCGAATTGAGACAAATTACATCTATCCTAAAGTCCAACATTCCAAATTCTTAAAAACTAATCAAAATCATTCCATTCACCTATAAGTCCACACATTACATACATGACGACATTTCAGGAAACAACATTAAAATCAAATTCCGAAATATATAATCAAAAACACAAAGTTAAACTAGAAACAATAAGCATAAACTAAACATTAACAAAACTCGATCAACTGACCTTAATAACAATCTCTCGAACCTCAAAATTGGAACTATTATTGATACTAATGTAGCTACAAAACGTCTCTCCCAAATAAATCGCCCTAAAAATCACACAAACAACAACAAAAAACACATCAATCAACAAAATTCAAACAATAAAATCAAAATAACAACAAATTTACGAGAGAGGATCAAAACCCGAAGGATTGCGGAAGAACGAGGAGACCGGAGAGGCCGGAAGCAGCAGATGGATCAGAGAGGAGGAATCGAGAGCGAAAGGAGAGATCGTTTTCGTTGCCATCGTTGTTGTTGTTGTCGGAGGAGAGAGAATGAGGGAAAAGAGAGGAGGAATCGTCTTCGCCGACGAGGAGATCGGCGGGGTCGAAGAGAAGAGGGGTTTCGACGTGAAGAGATGGGCGGCAAAGCCGCATTACTCGGAAGGCGAGGGAGTGGTTCGCCTGAGCTCCGCCGCTTGCTCCACTCATTTTGGTGGCTTGACTTTTGCAGAGAGGAGGTCAGAATCTGAGATGTGATCACTGACCAGTTTAGTTTGAAGGAGAGGAGAGGGAAGACTATGCAATATCAAATGCACCGTGAGGGAGTATGGACTAACAGACTATATAGATAATAGATTCTAGAGTGTTAGTTTTTTGGGAAATAATTTTGGCACGTTAAAGATTGATAGCACATTTTTCCTACCCTCGTCTTAACGACTAACACTTTTATTAATGGGGGAGCTCAATCCGCATATGTTGCCATTTTTAGGTGGAGTTATGAATTTATGTATATAAAACTGTGATAATGGTATAAATTAGAACTAGACAGATCGATGAAGAGTGGTATAAAAGGAGATATACATATGAGAGAAAAAAAAAAATGGGAGAAAGAAGGGGCAAATAAACGAGAAAAATCAAGTTTATACCCTAGATTAACTTGAAATGTTTCTCCAAGATTAGTTTCGAGATTTCACACTGTAAATGTATGGACAAACTCAGAAAGCGAATTTTATTCTACTTGATAATTACACAAACGTTTTAAATCGCCTTTGACGCTAGGTAACCTAGGGTTAAATTAACCCACCAACGTTTTTTTTTCTCATATCAATTTAAAACCCCTACAACCCACCTTCAACCAGAATTTGGGGGCGACAGCTAGGGGTGTTCATAAAAAGTAAAGGAAAAACTATATTTTAACGTCATTTTTTGTATGTTTAGTAAAAAAAAATCTCATAAAATTAAAGTTTTCTATGCTTATTAAGGATAATTTTAACAATTATTTAAGGTATCACGCATAATTTTAAGCAAGAAAATTGGTCCGGTCCAAGACCGTTTTTTATAAGGTTTTGGACCGGACCGATTAATTCGGTCGGGTCGGTCCGGTCAAGTCTGTCCATTTTTTAGGTCCAGACCGATTTATGAATACCCCTAGTTGTTGCCTTCAAATATAATTATGGTTATGACTTGTAATTGATAACTTATTCTTTGTTCTATTTTATTTGACATGTTTCATTATCATGTTTGCCAGTGTATAAATCTAATTTTCAATATATTTGATTTCTAATAAGTAAAAATTATACTCAATAGATATTGTGATAAGATTGAGACGATTTAAATAAAAACCTACATGACTATGTTTTAACCTAAGTATAAATCACGATCAAATGTGAGTGTGAATAGTGCAAAAGTCAAATTAGATCAAATAAACAACGAAGGAGGTATTTTATTTTACGTTAGAAAACTCTGAACCCATAACAAAAAATTCCTGGAATCGCCACTTCTAGCAAATGACAAACACTGACCCTTTAGGGTTCACCCTTAATTTCAATATTTTTCTTAGGGTTTTTCGTGTAATTCGGCAACAAAGCCGTCGGAGATGGTGTGTTGGGATCGAAGTTTGTTGCGGTGTTAGTGGTGTTGGGGATACTAGTGTTTTGATGATTGGTTGATTTCACCATTATTGTAGAGAAATGAAGAAGGAGGATGAAGAGAATCCCTAGGTTAATTTAACCCACATCGTCTCATAGGCGTTACTTTTTACAATATCACGTGGCAGACTACTTTCTAGTTTTGCAAGATGTTTTTCCAAAATTTATTATTTTTATTCATATTTAAAAACTTATTTACAACCATGCCATGGGATATACATGGTTTGTTATTCGGGGAGATTAATGGGGACATGCTCGCAAAGAAACCTCAAAAGTGAAGAGCCATAGTGAATTAGTGATAGCCCGATGAAAATATCATGTGGATGACCCGTTCATTCTCGAATCAAATAAAAAACAAATTGGTTTAATGTACGAAAAGCAATTAATAGGTGAATTAGTATGACTTAAGTGAGTCAATTTTAAGACAAATTTTTTGTATGCAATTACCAGACAATCTAAGCAAAAAATGTTGGCTTGTTGAAATTGTATCTCTTCCTTCAAATCTAAACATTGAATACTTTCCGTTGTTGCCAAATTAGGGTATTAGAGCATTCATTTTTATTGCAACAACTCAATGGGGATTACACAACTTTAAGCATGGGTGACATAGGGTGACATAGGGTGACATATTTCCAATCAATTAATTTACTTCAAATTATCCCAAAGTTTTTATCATTTGAGTTCTGCAACTTTTAATCTCAAGTTTGTAGTCCTCAGTTAACAAATGGGAGTAAAAGTGTAAAACTGACTGCATCTGTGATTTCAAACTCCAGTTTGAAGAATACATCACTTGACACGGCCAAAATTCTTTGACATCAACTAGAAAATTGGTAACGCACTATAGTCTATACATATCAATAGAGACGTAAGAGTTATACAAAATTGCAATTAATATAAGCTCTTGCATTGCAAAGAGATCGAGCTTTTAATCCCATTCTTACAGCTGATTAGTAACGCATCAACTGAAATCTCGATTTCAGGTCTCCAAAGCATTGACAGGAACCCAACATATATTCAAAGAATGACAGCAGCAGCATCCATCCGAAACTACCACTTCTGGATTAAAGATCTTGAAAGAAACTTGTTCTCTCTCTTCGTTACTCTGTTCAACAAGGGTTGAGATCCTTGCAATCTTCTTCACCGCTAAGACTCGAGAGGGTTATTTGCATGCAGGCAATGTAAACATCTTCCTCTCATCATCCACCAGTGTGAACACTACAATTAGGATGCATATATTCACAACGTCCAGCAATCCCCATTTCTCAGCTAAAAAAAGCTTTGTCATGACCTCTTTGATGGAGAGAAAACGCTGATTTGGTCAGCAGACTGTAAATAAAAGAATGTACAACCTGTAACACGGACAAAATACACAAATTAGAATTTTTTTACGGAGCACGGTGCAAGAACCTAATACAAAGTATTTGATATCAAAATCTGCTGAGCCAAGATCATGCATCTAATGGTGCATTAATCATGACAAAATAAACAAGATAACATTGTCTGTAAAACATGATTCCCAATCAAAATTGAATGGCGCAGAAGAAGCAGGAAACAAAGATGAAGAACTATTTATGCAGCTGGAGTGAATTCTAATGAATTTCGACATGTTCATTTCAAAAATATTATAAATAAATAAGAGTTAAGATAAATTATCTATATAAGTTCTGAATAGTAACGGATCCTTAAATAAACGAGGTTAGCGATGGTTTACCTAACTAACAATGTTTATACCACTCGAACCCATGCTCCACCACACATTGGGCAACCATAAGCCCAGCGACTTATCCAGTATGTCTCTCGTTCATTCTGATTGGATGAATTAGTAGAGCCTGTTGAGGAAAGAGCCGAGGTTTGTCGCAAACACCTTATACACTGCAAGGAATTAACAGATGTTAGAAGAAAGAGCATACTTGTGAATAAGAGTAGGTATCTTGAAGAGATGCAGAATCATAGAGTAAACCGTAAATATATGCAATTATATTAAGACAGTGGGGTGTTTTTTTTTATTCAATGTGAAAATGGGGTCTTTACTTTTTTTGTAAAAAAAAAAAAAGTGAAAAGAGAGGTATTACAAAAATAGGGGAGTTTCTACCAAACAGGAAGCATTCAAACTAATTTGGGATGGGTGTAAAAAGAAAGTTTTCAAGCTATTTTGGGATGGGAGGAGTACTAGATTATGATTTATAGTTCACTTTGGGATCATACCCGGAAACTTTATAAGGAACAAAAATGAAGAAGGCATACCTTGAACCAAACACCCTCCAAACCAGTCTTCCAAACAGCAGTCACCACATCTCGTCGAGATCCCATAATACCAAGATAAGCTCCTAGACCAACTGAGGTGTTAAAGCCAAAAGCCGCATCCCTTTCAGACAGCCTGCGTTTCCTTGGCCATAGGCTCTGCACTCCATAGGAAACATCACAACTCTCCATTGAGCTTGAATCAAGTGGATCAACAGAAGTGTTTAGCTTAGGGTTATCATCAACAGAACCCATTTCATCAAGATCAGACCATGGACCCCCAAACATGTTCCGACGATGCCATTCTTCTGCAGGAGGGTGGAGCTCCAACTCACGTAGAAGTAAACCAGCAGCATCTGCACCTCTAGGCCTAGGCATATTCTGCAGAGAGTACCAAAAATGAGTACAACCAAGAAGGAAATGGGATGCAACAGCTCATGAAGTCACGATCTAGGATACAGAGTAGAGAACAGCAGCATTATTAAATAGAACTCCTAGTCAGGCTGAAGGCCATTAAACACAAACTTCATTCATTTTATTCTGCATTTAAATCCTCAGCAGCCAATATCTTCACTGTATTTTCATCCTTGGCATATAGACTGTCAATTACTTAATCTCAAATCAATAAAAACAGCCAAAGAAAAGCGTAAACTTTTTGTAAAAACAAAAAGGATAAAAGGTATCCATGAAAGAAAAACAAGAATCCTCTGACATATTTGTAGTCTGATATATTTTCCATTCCTTTCCACCACAATCAACAGATCAAGAGAAATAGTCTCCACATAATATGTTCTTAATCCCTCCCAAAGCTGCCATTTTCCAAAATTTTGGAAGGCAGCACGCCCTTTTTTACCTCATACAAACAACTTAATTACAAGGGGATAAGTCACCAAGAAATAATAAGGGTTTCCCAGGTTCTTAATTTAATTATGTCACATACAATGAAGAATATTGGTTTATTTGCACTTGGGATTTGCAGTTTATTAAGATTTACTCAACACTTCTTATTGCTCTATCAGTGTGCAGTGTACACTGCTCGATCCAAAACAGAATCACGATAATGTTAAGAGAAGACAATGACTACCTGCATATGTGGGCCAAGTGATGCTTCAACAACCTCTGGCAATACCGTATAGTTTCCATCAATATAGTGTAGCCGAACCTGGATATTGGACATTCCAACTTGAGAAACAGGCAACGGGTGCGCAAGGCCTGCTGTTCTCTTACAGAGATCCATCAGTATCAGAAACAGCACTTTGACCTACAGCAAGAGCAGATTGAACTTGAGCTTCATTTTAGAAACTTGAAAGCTAGACCAACAATCTCCAGATAAAATAATTGAAGTTTTGTCTAAAAAAACATACTTCCTCCATTTTTATATACTTGCAACCCAGCCTTGTGGCACGCGCTTTGAGGTCGAGATTATATAATGTAAACGGACAAATTATTCAAAATAATTTTAACACATGATACCTAACCCTACTCTAATCCTCGTGTTAAAATTATTTTGATAAATCGCTCGTTTACCTTCACTAATCATCTCCTAAAACTGCGTACATAAAAGGTGTGTTGCACGTAAAAAAAAATTTAAAAAAAAATTAAAAAAAAAACTGATGAAGCAATAATTAAGCCAGAATATATATACTAGAAGTTCAAGCAGCATTTACCTCCTCATATGTGTATCCTTGACCAGCATTACCAGTCCCCATTCTAACTCTGCCGGCAGGACCATCTTCGACTTTGACACCAGCAACTAACTGATTGCTACGAGCACCCTGAGCATCTTCCAACCTGCCTGATACTGGCATGGACTTTGTCTGGTTCTCTTCAACCTTGCTTGCAACATTGGGCTGGGTCTTTTGCATACTTGCATCAGCCATTCTCTGAGAGCTTGGGATGAAGCGGGATAGATTTGTCCGTCGGAAAAAAAAAGCAGAATAGCAAAAGTTGGCACAGTCTATGCAGGAAATGGCAGTCGCCTATAAGCCTGACAGCAGGAGTACCAGGAAAAGTTCCAGTATTTATGCTGATTGGCATATATGAAGTTGGCCCACTCAAGGGGTTAGGAGTTGAACTAGAAACTCCATCTGGTGTACCACTAATCTTAGCAATAGCACCTTGGACCCAAGCCTGCATTTGGGTGTTTCCTGTTGAGCTTGGTGTACCGGTTTGAGCTCCTGAAAGCAGCAGCACAACAAATATATTTTCAGTCAAAGATAGTCAGGTAGATAATATATATATATACAGGGGAGGAGCAGTGCATTAAGTCCACATATGCTTACGGTTCAGAGTGACAAAACTTTAATCCTAAATTCCCATCACCCTCCAAGCAAGAAAAAGTTAAAGTTGGTCTACATAAACCACAATTTGGAAGAATGGAGAAAAATAGTTATAAATATTCAGTCTTCACATACTTATACCCATGTTTGATTCCAATATTTTGTAGGAAGCGAGAAATGCAAGATTAATACAGTACCAGAGAGCAGTCAAGGCAACCTTTTACAGTCAAATTTCTCCATGACCACTGGAGATACTTTCAAGATCTCCTAGCGAAAAGCAACCTTAAACTTGATTTTAAAAATAAGTGATACTTATATATTGGGCTAGAAGGGTAGCACATTGACGAAGAATTCCAACCACTCACCCTGACTTGGAGCAGGAGATGAAGAACTCTGTGTAGGACTAGCCACCAAATTCCGGTTCCCACCGGTTCCTGCTTGAACAGCATGATTCGCTAATGTGCGACAAAAGCTTGCATAACGACGTAGACGTGTGATAAAATGTGAAGCAAGATCTAGAACAGCATCAACATAGGCCTGTATTTATATGCTCACAATTAGGTTCATGGTAATTGAGAAATATAGCAGAGCATTTTTCAAATATTGATGGTTATAAGCTGAATGAAAGAAATAAATGGGATTGATTGCATCACTTTAACAGGAATCAAATTTTTTTCAGCAGCCTTGAAGCCAGACTTGGAAACTTCTCATGTTTGTTAAAATTGATTAATTCTTCATCAATTAGAATAAATCTAGAGTGGAATCACAAATATTATTGGACCAGATTTGTTCAGAACATTGAATTTAACAGTACTTGACAAGAGCAAAACAAAAATGGGTAACCCTGCCCCTCTTCAAATCATAAGAAAAAAAAATATACGAAGCTCCTAAAGCATACCAATACACTTCCTCCGTTTCAAATTAGATGACACAATTTGACTTTGTGCACTCTTCTGCTTTGACTTTGTTTTGTGATTTCATGTTGAGAAAAAGTACAGTCATGTGGGGTCTTGTTAGATTTGTCTCAACATCTATTTTTTAAATATCAATTTTATATAAATTTTGCTAATATGTAATCAAGGATATTTGCATTCTTACGTATTTAAATATCAATTTTATATAAATTTTGCTAATAGGTAATCAAGGATATTTGCATTCTTACGTATGCATTGGCATACGTGCCTAAATGAAATGTGTCTTCTAATATGAAACGAATGAAGTATAAATAAGAATGTCATTTTACCAAGTTTGCAATGGTAAACAGAATTTTTCTGAGGAGATCTGATATCATAGAGCAATAATAATCAATCAAGTCCTTGAGATAAATCTATTATGGAATTATGAACATATTCTTCGCAAGGCCTTGTTATCACTTCCTTAAAAAAGCCCAGGTACCAGAAGCTCTGAACTTTAGAGAGACAAAGTAATTTGGGAGCCTTTAAAGTTTGGAATGACCATTTTGCTTCACCATATTATCAAATTATCAAGAATTTAGGGACTAGGGACTGCTAATCTTGAAGGTAAAGAAAATTTTCAGATTAATAATAATGGCTAGCACAAGTTTAAGACCTGAACACTTAAATGCAGCGCTGGATCAACAGCCATGGATTCAGAATCAATTGCATTCAACATCTCGCCAGATGCCTGCCAAGGCTCAGAAACCAAAGCTGAAGGATTTATCAATGCTGATTCAATCCCCTTCCCAAGCATATCTAATAACAACCTTGCTTGCATATCTAAAACCATAGCTCTGACTTCTTGAGCGTTTGTGCCTTCCAGCAGCCTGCATTTTATCCTGTCAAGACTCTGCAATACAATAGTACAGATTAAATTTTCCATCCCACAAGAAATTATCAGAAATATTAGAAGAGTCCAAAACTAGCCTGGCTGAGAAGATCAGCATGGCTAACCAGCTAATTGATCTGATACACCAACCCAAACCCCTCATTTAACAGCTCTATATATAAATACAGGACTAGGTTAAACCCAAGAGTCGAACGATTTAGAAAATATGTAGGAATAATATCATTCATTTTTTAAGGAAAAAAACTAATAAGGATAATGTCATACAAAGTAAATTGTTTATGATGTCAGCAATGACATTATTATCTACTCCGTAACAAATAGCATGCCATTGTTATCTGCAACTATAAAATAGGAGAGGAAATTGAAATATTAAAGCTGATCAAAAAATCATTCAATCAATCAATCAATCAATCAAAGCCTTAATCCCATAAGTCGGGTCGGCTACATGAACCAAATCTGATTATTCCGTGAAGTCATCCACAAAAATCTAAAGCTGATCAACAAAACAAATATAAAAAAAAATTAAATAAATAAAGTGCTGACATCATAGATAAATTTGGAGGGAAATTTTTTAATAAGAGAATCATGTGTCTAGTTTAGGGGGTGAATGATGTCAGCGTTGGCTTGTTTTAGTAATAGTTAATTGATTAATTTACTCTAAATCCTTCTCTTTTACAATCCCCAACCAAAAGACCACGTGAACAAAACCTAGATGCATCTGGCATAAGGGGGGAGTGAAATGGTGGTGGAGGGGAGGAGTAGTGGTGGTGGTTGTTGTAGATGGAACCATGGAAGGGTGGTAGTAATATTTTATGTTTCCCTTTCTTTATTTCAAAACAAACAACTTAAGACATATGAGGCTTTTGCTTTCCTTCCTCCCTCTTTCCCTTTCTTTATGCCATTTTCTTCCACCTTTGCGAACCAAACGGCCCCTAAACAAAAAGAAAATGACAGGACTATACAAAGAGCAACGGACCCGTACATAATGCAATAGCACCAATCACCAAATAGCCACACATAATAGAAGAGCTAGAATGCTGAACAGAATAAAATTACCAAAATCAATTGATTATTATGACCATGTTGGGGAATATATGGAACACATATATATATAATCAACTTTAAATCCCTTTCTACCTTTCAATAAACATGCACCCCTACCAAATGACTAGATGAATTATACCTAGTTGCAACAAAAACTCGTGAAAAAAAGACCCATTCAGAAATGACAATAATATACACTGGACTAGTACATCTTGCAACAGCTGCAATCGTCAATATAGCATACACAGAACAGACAAGCTAGACTGTTCCAACGCTCCCGAACTATGAACAGTAGAGGACAAGAAATTATCAACAAAATGGAAGGTATTATGGTTTAGAAAAAAGAAAAGGAACAACATACAGGTCCATATTGCAGTCTGTGCTGAGTAGAGGGCAAGGAATGGAAGTCAGCATCCAAAACAGCAATAACACTGTTCAAGGAAACTGAAAATGGAAAGCGAGCAAAACAGCTTCAGATAAAACATAAACAGAATACAGAACCATTAGAAAAACTTGCAATCAAAGAATTTGAATATAATAGCAGACAAGTTAACATTCTACTTTTTCCATCTACCTTCTATGATCTAAATGAATAGTTATAGAAAATAATTTTAGGGGCTTTTTTGTTTTCAGGTATTTTCAGGAAAAGTACACTTTCATACCAATTCCATCTTCAGCAGCACTTTGTGTACACCCAACAGCATCCCACCAATCTACTCCGACCAAAAGACTCCACCAAAACCTGCTCAAAAAGAAAAGAGAATCAAGATGAACATTACTCCAGACTGCGAGACTGACAATTCAAATTGTAGTGATTCACAAACATTACCCCCTTTGCCCAAATTCTAGTATCTCAAGGATGCTTTCTTGCATCAGCTTTTGTTAGCAATTCAGAAAAAGGGGGTACTTCCAGAACCTACAGGCTCTTTTGGCATTCGTGTTTAGATCAAGACAAGGTGTGTTGGGATAATCATAACGAGAAAGAGGGAGGAGAGCGGGACTGACTAATTCCAAAAAAAATTGCATACATAGTTACGGTTTACCTTTCTGCAATTGCACGTTCCCAGGTAGGAGAACTGGATTTTGCTTGATTACTGGGAACAGAAGGTGGAAGAACACGGATTATCTTCAGCATAGTGCAATCTTTAAATGTATCATGCCATACAGAAGCTGAGCAGCAGCTTGTTGAAGAAAAAGCAGGAGCAGCTATGGCTGAGCCAACATTAATCTGATATGTATCAACAGGTGTGAAGTTTGGCCCTGAATAAATATGGATTCCACCACGTAAAAAAGCAATAGCAACTTCACCGCCATGAGCAGCGTATACAATGCGAGCAAGTGTTCTAACGTCACTGGGCATATTAAAGTGATCAAATGTGACTTTTTTTTCCTTATCACCAGCTGACTCAGGTTTGAGCTGAACATCAGAAGTTGGTCCTGCTGATGCTACTTGCTGACACTTAAAATCATCAGTTGGTGGGATGCTTTTGTTGACCTTTGTATCCCAAACAGTTTGCATGGGTGGCTGCCCTCCAAAATTGGAAGGACTCCCAAATATCTGGTGAAGGACAACAGGTTTAAGACACGAATCCCAACGCTGCACTCTCCATCCTGTGATTGAGGGACCCTCATCTGGGTCATATGGAGACATGTACTGCCCTGCAAAACAAGAATAAAACACATCATTCTCAGATTACATGAGAAGCAAAGATCTAAAGCAATGCAACAAATGCATTATCAAATTAACCAACATGTTTAACAAGTATATCTCAAGACACCTAAAATTCCAAGCTCATTTAGCAAGCAGTATGAAATAAAAAGTGGATACAAAAACACAAATCGGCCTGGGTTTATAATTTGCTTGTTATTCTTTCCAATAGTATACCTTATTTAAAAAGAAGCAATGCTAATGATCTAGCACTTAAAAGAAGCTGGTCGTGAATCTCTCTCCCTCATTCATGCCTCACTCTACTCACTCTTGCATTTCTCTCAGACGACTGACAACCAACCAATGACCAGATCTTACTGGAACCACAGGGAGGGTTGCTTGTCTTTAATGTCCCATACCAATTTCATGCAAGCTGGTAGCTCAACTTTCAAACTAGGTTTTATGAATGTCAACCTTAGACCTGGAATAACTTTGTAATTTGTTATCCAATCAAGTCAAAAAGTATTGCTCCTTGCTTGGTGTATTAAATATCATGGAAGAACAGTGTGTTTTTTCTCCCAGGAAAACTCACATTCCATCAATCGAAAGCAACAAACCTATTAAACCAAGAACGGCGACAACATATGACAGCTAAATTTCGAATGACGATGAAACTAAAAATTTATGTAAGCTTGGTAAGCATATTACCATCCAAACAGAATAGGATAATTTCAGACTAGAAAACAAAGGCCTTTGGCTACATCAGAGGTCACATGTTTCAAAACTATGGTTAAGATCTAGTTATATGTTCCATCTAGGAATACTCATGGAAAGCATATCAAAACTCAAATGCTACAGCTCTCTCCATAAAGACCCAAGATCTCAACAGTGATACACAAGTAATGCTAAATCAAGAGAGAATCAAGTAAAACATTACAAGAGGGGAGATAATAGGTATATAGTAATGTTGATCAACACTGCACAACTTCAGCTATGGCTAACCAACAATTCCTGGGACAACATCATCATGAGGGTCAATAGAAAGCATGTCTGCAATTTCAAGAAGCATGATTATATACATCTAAGACCTACCCCACTCCGTAGGCAAAAACCACATCCAGGGCGTTAGGCTAATGGCTTATAATATAAACAATATACTAACTACAAAGTCTAATGTTTCTTCAAATAAGGAGAGCATAAATCTAATGATGATCAATCTGCATTCTCTAGGAAAAACAAACATATATCAAGAATATCCAACAGCCCAAGACAAGGAAGCATTCTCAAATATAACAAATTGTTTGAAGTACAATACCCTCAACTATCACCACTGTAATAACTGAACCGCCGCGAGTTGGATCAAATGAAACAGCCGTGACACCAGAACCCCACGTAGTGGTTGCAGCTGATTGTGATGCAGCCTCTGGACTCACATATGCCGAAAAATTTGAGACTGGTGAACAATACAGTGATACATTTTCAGTAAAATCTTTATCTGAGTGTTTTTTCCCTTGTTTTGCCTCTGATATGAAGTATTCTTGCCAGTCAAACAAATAAGCTGCAAGGGGGGCGAACCCTGACCAACTAGGGGGATTGACAGAAGGAGGGACTGCATTGCTTATTGTAGTCTTTGGAGTTGATTCAAATCCATTTCCAGGTCCTGGAGTGACCTCCCAGACAACTACTGTTGATGGATTTACAATAGGGACACCTGCAACATGCATGGCTCCTGAGTCGGTCACAATTGCATCAGCTGCCATGATCCCGCTGGGTCCAGCCCCCAAGAGCCCTTTGCTGGTGCAAAACCACTTCGCTGATGCACCGTCTCGAGGTGGCCAATGAGACCAGTGAAGTTGGACAGATCCAGAAGAAAATACAGAACATACACAAAGAATATTCGGCCACCTAGCTGAGAAGACAAGTAAAATAGAGAAACTGCATATCAAAAATTTAAACCAATGTCTTGACTAAAAAGTGCAGAAGAGCAATGCAAATACACACAACCAAATTCTTCAACTTAGAAAAAAGCCAGATGCTACCCTAAACAAGATTGAGACAATAAAAGTAAGCCACAAATAAAACTCCAAGTAATTGAACTTATTTAATTCACCTAAGTAATGTTGTTCAGAGCCACGACACATGTACTAGAACAGATGTCTCAAGGAACCGACTTTCTTCAAGCATAATAATAGCTTGAGACTTGGCTCAATACTAAAAGCTATCATGCTCTGTATAAGGCCCAGAGAGATGGGGAAAAAATCTTCCTAGAAACAGCCTTGAATATGCAGTTTTCCAGCCATTTAAAGACATTCTAATAAGCAAAAGTCGTTATAGAAATAAACAGATTTATTTATAGTATCTAATTATAGCTAATAAAGTCTGACTCATGATTGAATATCACAAGTTTTAGAGAGAAGTTGATTTTACTCACATTGCTGAAAGGTAAACCAAAAGCAGAAATTCTATGGCAAAAGTAGGACGCATACTAGTATAATACAATCACATGCATACTTAGTTCATCAGAGATGGGATGATATAAACAATTAAAAAAAAATAGAGTGCAATCGTGCAAGTTAACAAGTATGCTCCAAATTTAAATGGAATGGAAGTATCCGAAGAGGAAACAACTTTCTATGCCAAAACAATAGGCAATATCATGATTAACGCCTAGTTTTGTACCTTCCAATAACACAACCATCTATAGAAGTAAAGAATGATAAATTTATAGCATACTGCTCACCGGACAATATATCCTCAACTACAAACATAGTTACCTACCAACAAGATTTTCCACACAAAAATCAACAGACATGTCAGGCAAAAATTGTAATGGGCAATACTCAACCAACCTGAAGTTTGTGGAAGTTGAGGAAGGAACTTTTCCTCAAAAGTTGACTTCAAGCTTGTAGAATTATTGGATTTTGCAGAAAGCCACCTATACTGATCAAGGATAAGTAAAAAGTCAGGCAGGGACCAAAATATAGGTTAAAGAAGTATCAGAACTTCAAACAGTTGACTAAACATTGTGACCAAAATATAGGTTAAAGAAGTATCTGATCTTCAAACAGTTGACGACACATAATGACCAAAAATCCATCATCCAGAAAGTAGGGAAAGTATTTATCCTTATATAGATGACAACAGGAAAACAGAACAGATTCTCAAAAAAATTATTTTAAAGGGGTGTAAGAAGAAGAATTGATAACCAAGATTATGTTTGCACAGACACTGGACTGATACCAGAAATGACGAGAATAGAAATTCCCACTCTGACAGTTAAGGGTGACATAATGACATACATCTCAAAGCATATAACAGCAAGCTAAACTACATTAGAAGTCTATTGCTATAGCAGCATAAGATAATTAAACAAGTAGGATAAAAAGAACGAAGATACCGACAGCTTAGATAAAACAAAAATCAACAAACCAAGCCTCCAAGACGTAGAGAATTTTTAAAACCTACACATCACTTATAAAATACCGACAATCTGTCAGGAAGAGAAAGACAAACTGTTCAATATCATACTTGTGCTCAAATGCATAGAAGTACCTATAAACTAGACTTTCATCAATGCAAGTGGTAAGCCTGATGTTATGAAAATTAAGAACTGGAGTGATATAGCAAGCATGTTACAAGCTGACAACCAACAGAAGAACACTTATACAAACTAAAGACCTATGCTAGCTGATGGATTTGGGTGCAGTTATCAGGTACAGGTGCTTGTCCGAGATGACATGGGTACATTAGCACATCTTATGAAATATTTACACTAGTTCAACATTTACAGCTTTTTACAGAATCCTCCTTTGTCAATCTTCCTTTTTTATTTATTATGGCCTCACAGATAAAGTCATCTCTTTTTTCCTATTTTTCCTATTAACTCGTCAAATTGGCATTCTAGCAGTAATTAGAAAGCAATGAGTTTATTAAGCCAAATTTGGAAAATAATTCAAGACATCAAATAGACACATTTAGCAATTATGCAAAAACCACATGAATATTAGAAACTTCTATATGTACATGGCCGATGGAAAGAAAAGGTGATTGATATCCTTCCAATCCCCGGAAAAGGTAATGGTAAATTGCATAGAAATCATCAATGGATGTCACTATCCAGCAATTGTTAAAACCCTTTAAGACCCAACATTTTTCATTTATTGGGTACAGTAATTGCTCTTTTTTCCCAGTAGTTGAAACTCTCTGGTTTCACTCTAGAAATGGATTACATGTAGTGCATCAGGAACATCACAAAGCAAAAGTATTAACCATAAAATGACTACTAAACACATAGGAAGATTAATTACCGGAGAAGCACCAGAGAGCCACTTTGTTACAACTGCAATATCTTGCCTCCATTCATGTTCACGCTGCCAGGAACTAGCATCTCGCACTAGGTTAGCTGGCCCCTGATTAGAATTTTATTAGGGTCTCATAAAGCACTTGAAAGGCAAAAAAAAAAAAAAAAAAAAAACATAATAATGGAATTCAATAGAATCACCAGATACATAAACAAATACACATTTTTTATAAGAAGAGGACTTAAGCCAATATAAGAAGTTTGAGTAAGAAAATAAGACAATGAAAGAAAAACAAACTACTCCCAAGGATTCAATGGGTAATCTAACCTGTGTCGGCTGCGACCAAATTGTTACTCTTCCATAGAAGTTTGCGATTAATAATGCCCGCGGACAACAAGGCGGAGACCATTCAATAAACTGAACTGAATCGCGGGGACAATCTGCATATGATGTTCAAAACAGGTTATACCAAAGCATCACAATTTAACATGGCTTCAAAGAAAAAGTAATACCATCCAAAGATGAGGACCGTGTTTGAAATGATTCAGTTCCATTGAAAAAATGTGTTTAAGCAATGAACAAAAGGTGAAAGAGAGTGGGGAGATGAAGGATTTATGGGGTATGTTTATTGTGGTTTGCTTGTATTTTCCACCAAGGTAAGGCTAGAGTTCCTTTTCTCAGTTGTCAAGGGGTCATGATGAGAAAATACATTTTATTAATTTGCAGAGCTTCTAAGAATTTGGGGGTTAATCAATAGAAGCTCTGCAAATTTTATGAGATGATACTCTTCAAATCTTTGGGAATTGGGATGAAACTAGGCCAATTGTCAAGGGGTCAAGATAAGAAAAGACATTCATTAATATTCTTCAAATCTTTGGGCACTGAGATAAAACTAGGCCAATTGTCAAGGGGTCAGGATGAAAAAAGACGTTTTATTAATTTGCAGAACTTCTAATATTTAACCCCCCCTCCCCACACACACACACAGCACTAAGTCACGTTAATCCAGTTTATTTTTGTCTTTAAGGATAATAAAAAAAAAAAAAAAACAAAAAGACCCTTGGGCTCTCAAAATAATACATAACTCTTTTCCCTGTGTTTATAGATTTTCAAAATCAATTGAAATATTCTTGTAATTTGTAAATATCAAAATTTTTGTTGAGGCTAAAAACATTGTCAAAAAACCACTTGAATCAAGTCACTACTCACTAAAGAGTACTTTCATCTAGAGTCTAGCCATTGTAAATTAGACCTTAAATGAACTAGAAAATAGCATGACTTAACATTTGTTTAGTGTAAGGGAGCAAATGAAAAGTTCTGAATAACTTATAGGGCAAAATGAAAATCTCAAAGTAGCAATAATAATACAGGAAGAATGTCAAGGAATCAGAATGACATTTACAAATTAAGAAAAAATAAAATAAATGACAAACTACATCTCGGATCTAATCTATTAACATCCACCAGATATCATTTAAACAAAAGCAAAATCACTAGAGGAAACCTAAAATCAATCAAAGTAATTAAATCAGCAGCTCAGTAATAATACCTGCTATGACATTGAATACAGCACTCTCGGTGGGACGCTCTGGAATAACTATGTGTATAGGGATCCAGAATGGCGGATTGGCACTGGAGCTACAACGTTAAAGTAGATCAGCAGCATCAGAGCAACATTTCTAATCAGATATAAATTAAAGAAAAAAGCTCAAATTATTACTCAAAACAGATTCTCAGCTGTCAAGGCACTAACAAAAAATTCTTAGACCATTTAATATAAAAAAATCAAAAACAACAGTGAAGTTTATAAGAAATTGTTCAATATTCACAATCCACCGATCAGTGATACATCAGGTTTGGCATTTTTCCTATATGTGAACTGGGAGGCCCAGGGAAAGTCAATAATGCCAGGGTAAAAGCAGCTCTCTTATATTCTTTATGTTAACCACGGATACCTAATCAAACAACAATCTTGCATCTGGTCCAGATTCAGAGACCCAACATCTGCACAACATACAGCAGATCACTCCATGAATTTCAGGTGGGTCCATCTGTCCCCTTCCTACCTAGCACCCACCCCCACCCCTCCTCATTTTCTTTTCTACTCCCTCTGTCCCATATTGTTTTTCCCATTTGCCAAATTTCACGGGAATTAAGAAATGGGAGGAGGAAGTACATGAAGTGCATTAAAAAGAGAGAAAAGTACAGAAAATGTGAGTGAGGCACAAATAATAAGTACATGAAAAAGAAAAAAGTACACGCACATGAGTGGAGGCACAAATATGTAGAGAAAACATGAGGGTATTTTAGGTAGTTGAGTAAATAAAAACCAAAAAAAATGAAGGCAATTTGGACTTTTCATAGTGCCCAAAAATGGGAATAAAAGGAAATAGGAAGATTATTTTGGGACACCCAAATGGGAGAAACAATATGGGATGAAAGGAGTATATTTCTTTTGCAGACACAAATTTTTATTGAAAATAAATTAACCCAATAACATCAAAATACTCTCTTTTTTTTTTTTTTTCCTCTCTGCCATGGCATTTAAACTGCCAGAAAAAGGAACCCGATTGGATAACTGCATGTGGCACAAACAATAAACAACTTGATGTGGCTTAGATTTTCCAGCCTAATAAAACAGGATGCATTACAGAACCATTCACTTCTTTATTTTGCAGATTTGATTCTAATTGACTTCTGGTAGAGTAAAACAATTGACCAAGTCCCTGAAACAATTTATGTGTCCCTACAAGCACAGACATGTCACTGCCCTCATTACATGAAAATCCATGATCCAGGCAGCAACTTTATTCCTGAGTCCGAGTAAAATAGATGATATTCAGGATATGATAGAGTGCATAGCTGATGCACCAACACTTTTTATGAATAAACAGTCATATCCAATGACTGTAATATTCCTTACAGGTCTTCTCGTGTAAGAAGACAATTTCGATAAATAGCACTTTCAAAGACAGTGTGAAACAAAGATGTGAAAGTAAATTGGTAGCATCTATATAAAAAAGTAATATTCCAGGAGAGGAAAGAAGACAAAAATGAGGATCGAAAGGGTCAAGTCAGAATTGACTTTGGAAATCAACTCTTCCTCCTTGTTCAAAGGCAAAGTGCAAAATGAAGGTGCAAAAGAAATTTTGTAGCACTTATGCTAAGAATAATATTCTAAGAGGAAGGAAAAGAAGGATGACATGAAGACTGAAAGAGTTAAAGAATGCCATACCAACAAATTAACAATTATCATGCCCCTTATTGATAAACAAAATCAAACTCCTTCCTCCTTCAAAAAAAAACACTGGGTTTTTCCACAAGGGGTAAGGAGGATTCCTTTATTTCATCATCTATAATAAAATCAGTAAGTATATAAACCTCAATTCTTACACCCATTCAGTTTGCAGTTATGAATAAGATAACTATGTGCTGGAATCTTAATAAAAGGTTAAGGTCTGTCATTTCAATGTGCTAGTGAAGCTTATTGACAATCGTCAACATGATAAATTAACTAGATAAAGGTTTCTTTCCATCTCATCCTCTTCATTTTCAAATACAAGGAATAGTTGACCATCTCAACATAAAGTGACTGGTAGAGAACACTCCACTAATATGACGGTCAGAATAACAGCTAAAGGTGACAAACTATAAAAAAAGAGCCAAAATAAAGAATTTAACAATAAGCTAAGTTAGCTAACCTTGGAATTCTTGCACAAGTTTCTGAAGCACATGCTACTGCATTCAGCTTCCCACACCAGGCAACAGCACTTTAAGAACAGAAAACAACATAGTCTGGGTAAGTATTGAAAGAGATAAAGCTATAAAGCAAAGGCCTAATTTGCCAAACAAACAACAAATCAAAACCTGACTTGTCGATTACAAAATTATAATGGAATAAAGAATTTGACAATGTCGACTAGATATTAAGTCCATATCATTATTACTACTCTTGAAGTTCACTATTAATTACCAACCTTCCTCAACAGCCTAGAACACCAACAAAAGGGAAGATTACAACAACAAAAAAGTTGCCAAATATATCTAGCACAAAAATCAAAAGCCTTAAATCTTTAACAAGATGATCAATTATAATCACATGAGGTTCCACGTTTATAACTGAAATAGGATCAGGACCGTTTTCAGTAATCAGCAAATTGCATATTGTTTAATACGATAATCCATCTAGATTACATGTGTTAACCCTATATACGAAGTATAAAACAAATTTAGACCCAATCCCATTTTGGCAATCAGCAAATTGGTCCCATAAGCAACTCAATTGATAGTTTCCAGTGCCCCACCAACTCAATCAGCATATTTCCAAAAGTCCAAGAAATTGTAACGACCCTTATACACCATGAGAAGCTGCCTCGGTAAATAAACAGTAAACTATCTCGCTAATACTCGTATTATACATCATCTTCATCGAACAAACAACCAGACACATCTACTTTAGCATCTTTTATCAATCACACCAAAATAAACTCCCTTAAAAACTAGATTATAGAGTATACTCAAAGAATAAAAATAAATAAAAACCCATTTCATATTTCAACAAGTAAATGCTAAAACTGATACAAATGAGGCAAATTAAATAAAGGGCAACACCTAAAATCATCAATCATTAATAAATCACACTCAAATAAACTACCTTAAAAACAAAATTATAGAGCATAAACCCCAAATAAAACTAAACCCATTTAAGAAGTATATTCCAAAAATGAGTTCAATTAAAAATAAATGCTGCAACTGAAGTAGAGTAAAAAAGAGGGAAATACCTAAAATTGCGACAAAGATCAGGAACACTCATTTTATGAAGCAAATTAGAGCGAGGTTGGTTCAATTTGATAGAAAAAACAGTAGCAGGATGACTATTAACAGAATCATCATCCATTGGATCATCAGATTTCTCCATGAAAGCTTCTTCTTCAGCTTCAAATTTCTCAGAATCAACAGCAACAACTTCAGAAGCAGGTTGAGGAGGTGGGGTAGAAGAATCAGGTTCTGGGTTATTAATATTATTGATAGAAGAAGAAGAAGTCATCTCTTGGAACACTAAAAGATGCCCTAATTTATATGGAAAAAGAAAAGGGGAGAGAGAAAAAAAAAAAAGTGGGGAAAAAAGGGGGGAAGAATTGTGGGTAGTGGTGGAAGAAAGTCGCGATTGAGGGCGACAGCAATGACTGTAAGAGGAGAGAGAAAGAGTGAGTGGGGTGAATGTGATTTTCAGATTTTGGATTGAATTCAATTGATTTGGGGAAAATTGGATTTTTGTTGGGTGAGATGAGATCAGCTGAAATTAGGGTTCTTGGAGAAGGAGACAAATGTGTGTTAGAAAGAAGGGGAAATGATATTCCAGGTGTTTTTATTTTTTTTGAAGTATTCGTTTTTTTAGCTAGGTAATAGGACAATGAATTAGAGATTGTTTGTAGAATTGCAGTCAATTAGAAATTCATCGATTTTAAATGTTGTTGAAGTTGTTTTTTTAGGTGCGAAGAGCAGTAAATACAAGGAGGTCTAATTGATTTTCATTTTACAGCAATCAACAGGGTATAAGTGACATTTTCAACATTTACTCGGGGTTGTTTTGGTACATTTACAATAAGTGAGTGAGAATGATTGATTATTGTCATGTCAACGAGCGTTGGACAAATTGATGGAAGAACGTCGTTTGTTCACAATTTATAAACATCCGTCTATAAACGTTCGTGATTGAAGTCAACGTTAACGTTAGTTTAAGAGATTTTGATACGACTTATTCACAACATACATCAATTGTCATTGTTGGTTTAAATTGCCATTGTTTTCTTGTACTCGGTTTACACTTATTATGTAGTGAAAGTATGTAGTTGTATTTGTGACACCTTCTTTCTTGAAGATCAAATGGAGTGAAAATGTAGTTTATTTGTATGCTTCTTTTAATGGGGTATATAATTAGATGATACATCCTCATATCCTCCGATAATAATGAGTAAAAAGAATCCTTGTAATGATTATGGTATATGTGCCTTTAATCGATTGATGTAGTTCTATAATACATTATTATCAATGGTGTCAGTTGATTCGTTTAAATTTGCCTGGATTATCTACTTTCAATTTATCTCTCATTCCTTATGTGGCATGAGTTTCCATAACACAAATGCGTTTAAAAAAAAATCAACTTTTTTTGGTTTGATACCCAGGCAACTAGCTACACTTTTGTTAGTTAACTAGATTAGCTCCCGTGCGATGCACGGATATAACAAAAAGAATTTATAATTGTACATTTGTACACATTTTCAAGTCACGTCATCACTTAAAATATGTAAAATCTTGGTATTAACATAAACCAAACTACAAAAATTAAAACAATATAAACAAAAGGAAATTCATATCTACAATAAAATTTAGTGGATTTTGTAATTAGACGGAGTAATCACATATATACAAGGTTAATATTTGATTTCCTTAAGATTAGCTATATGTACCTTAAGATAATGTACGATATAAAAGTACTTTGCAGTCAATATTTAGCTTTTTCAAGAAAGAAAAAAAAATGGAAGAGAAAAAAAAAGTATTGACGGGAAAAAAAAAACGCTACGTCGTTAGATGTGAGTAACCACTAAAGTATTACAGAGTGCTTTGTATATATGAAATATTGTCTTAGTCTCTCATTTTTGGGGGGCATATTTTGTTTGTCCCAAATCTAAATACATTTTTTTACCGAAAAATGAATATCATTAATAATAAAAAAAAAATTGATTTTTAATACCTCAAAAAAATTTTAATACCTCAAAAAAACATGAAAATGATTTTTAACACTACCAAAAATTAAAAAAATTAATTTTACCACCACTTAACAGTTTCCGTCCAAAAAAACCGTTAAGTGGGGTTCACTGTGCTACATGTCGCCATATTATTAGTTAAAAATATTTTTTTTTTTTAAAAAAAAAAAAAAAAAAAAAAAAAAAAAAAACCCTAAAACTAACCTTGACACCCACCCCCACTTCTGGCTGCACGCCCCCACCCTTGCCCCACCCAGACACCCCTATTCCCAGCCCCAACCATCGGAAACTCCGCCCCCTCCCCAAAACTAACAGCTCCTCCCCAACAACCACCAATAAATGCCCTACCATTTTTCTAAACACCCAAAAATGACCACCAACAATGGCCGCTTACGATCGAAATCGACCACTTAGCCCCTAAACACCGGACGATTTCGACCGCTACCGGCCGTTTTTGGTGGCCGATTGTAGGGGGTGTGAAAAGTGACGCCCTATTTTGGTGGTCATTGGGGAGGGTTGCTGATTGTGGGGAGGGGGAAAGGGAGGGGGCGAACTGGCGAAGTTTGAGGTGGTTTCGGTTGGGAACCAGAGGGGTCAGGGTGGGGCAGTGGTGGCGGCGCGCTGCCGGCGGTGGAGGTAGGGTGGCTGGGTTATTTTTGTTTTATTTTTTAATTATGTTGGACAAATAAAATGTTGACACGTAAGTGTAATGAGTGGTGGTAAAAACTAATTTTTTAAAATTTTGGTGGTGTTAAAATAATTTTTTTTTTTTTGGTGTTAAAAATCAATTTCGTGCTAATCTGTGGTGTTAAAAATCAAAACTTCCTTAATAATAAGCCATATGACATCTACATTGATCATCAAAAGCATGAGTGTTTAGGCTCAAGCGAAGCCTCGGGGCGATATGCTCTTAAATGTTTAGTTATTAACTTATTATATATATATACATATATATATATATATATATATATATTCACCATACTACACCCGATTTACAATAATTCTAATATATTTTGAATATGTAAGGTAACTTTAATCCAATTTGGGGTAGCTTTAACTTTTTTGGCTCACAAACCGAGATTTTATTTTACTTTATATCTTATAAGTAAAGAGAGTAAATTTATAAATAAAGCATATGTAACTTTATTGTATTTGGGTAACTATAATCTATATAGGGGGTGAGTGGGTGACTTTTTATCATTTTAGGGTAACTTTACAACCGACATACTTACATTATTTATTATACCCTTGGTTTTTGTCAAAATTAAAGTTCGAGTATGCTTATAGTGTTATACAAAGTAGATCATAATTTTTCACTACCCTCATACCTCCCAGAGAAAATCCAGATATCTAACCCCTTACTGCATGCACACGAGTAAGTCTCCGCACCAGCCACCTAATTACATATAATAACAGTGTTCATGAGAAATTATTAGCAAAATAAAGCGGTATGTGGAAAACTTAACAATAAGTCATACATACCTGCAACCGTGTGCCACGTCTGGTGGAAGGAGTGGCGGAGCCTCATATGCATGCTCCTGATCGTCTTCCTCCTGGCCATCCTGCCGTCAACGGCTAGCAGCCATAGCTGGCCTACCAACGTGGATGTGCTCCCAAGCTAATAACTGTAATAAAAAACACAAGTTAAGGTTAATCATCGTTAAGTACGTAATAGTTAAAAAATGGTATGAAATTAAATGGCTACCTGAAGCACAATCAAGGGACCGCCGATCTCCCATCTATCTCGCTAGGATGCTCTGCAAAGATGGCGATACAAGGTCGCCAGACACGCACTACCCCAGCTGTAGTCACGTATCCGCTCCCAGCTGTTCTCTAACAGCTATAGGTAGATCAACTGTATGTGACTACCACTCTTATTACTAAATAACGATCCTATCAACATGAACAGGTACGCTCGAGCGTATCTCTGAACGACTCCATCATCAGCATCAAGAGGCAACACCCCAAATGTCTCTCGTAACCACATGTGTATCAGTCTTGTGCCTCTAATATCGGCGTCCTCGGGCCTCACCCCTAACAACTTCTCAACAAGGCCACGAGGGTCCTGTATAATGGGCCCTGTCACTGCCCTACCACGTATTGGGAGTCGTGTCAGTATCGCCACATCTCGGAGCGTGACGGTGGCCTCCCCAACTGGTAGATGGAAGGAGTGAGTCTCCCGTCTCCATTTCTCAACGAGCGCAGTAATTAGCGCTCGATCTATAGGTGTGAAGGCCATCCTACGAAATCCGCGAAAACCCATAAAATCGATGTAATGTAGTACACGCAGGTCAATGACCCAATCTTCCACCGCCCTGCCAATGTGGTGCCTGCAAAGCAAGCACCGTGCTGGATCAAACTGTACAACCCACAAAATTACATTGTTAGATCAATTAACATAAAAATTGCCAAAAAGAATAAATATTTGGTAGATGAAAACTTACTGACTGCTCCCATATGTCACGGCTCCGATGGGTGTCCTGAAGTGTCAGAAGGGTATCTGGTCCTGGGTCAGCTCGTGGTGGTCCCTGATCGTGTCCCTCCATGATATCTGTTCATTGCACAATGTAAAACAAGAAATCAGCTACATCCTAAGTGAAAACATGGTTCACACAACATGGTATTAAAATAAGACATAAACTAAGACCAATACTAGTACCCGCCCGTTCGAAATAGATAAGTTCTCTTATTGTGTCCTTCCTGATGACAACGACCACATTTTCTTGGTGGACGGTTAGTCTCATCCATTTCATTTCGTATACGCTTCGACTTTGGCCGACCATGTCCTCGGACCATGCTCTCATCATGAATGATTTTAGGCCCTTTGTATGTCCTCCACGTCGTCTCACAAGGAATAGGCCAGAATTGTGGGGCATACGTATTCGAATACGCCTCTGATCGTAGGAAACTGTCCACCTATGGTTCCTTAGAAACTAAATACTTAAGACACACGGCTAGAACATGAGAACACGAGGTGAAATATCATAGGCTTGTTGCATGTACATGTTCTCAAATTGAAGTTAACGGTATGCTTATGACCTCCTTTTCTGCCTATCCTCTCTCCCCGGTGTGTTTTTACTTGGTATATACCAAGCTGACGGCTATAGACATCCATTGTATGGTATTTTGCTTTTCCGTTATTCTTCTCCAAAATGGAAGTGACCTTAGGTGAGTATGCATATCCTTCGGCACGCCTAGCAAGTGAACTATCCCTTCTTATATTAAAATACTTGTTAACTCTGTGGAAAGTTAACTCGACTAGGGACATGATCGGCAGAAAATGAGCTCCCTTCAACACATTGTTAAATGTCTCTGAGAAATTTGTAGTACATATTTCATACCTACGACCAGCGTCATGAAACAAGGACCACCTGCGAAACGGCACATCCATAATGTACTCTAGGGACTTGACACAAGATTCACCGATGAAACGCATATCTTCATCAAAAAAAATTTCTTTGTGTTGGTAAGCAGCAGCCTTGAACCTATCTCTCATGTTGTTGTTCTTCACATGAGTCCTCAAGTTAGAGGCCATGTGTCGAATGCAAAACCTGTGAGAGGCCCGTGGATCATGAAATCCAACATTCGGGTCAGTCATTGCAGCAATAATCCCAGCATGTCGGTCAGATATAACACATAAGCCTTCTCGATCAGTAACATGAACCCGAATGCAACTTAGAAACCAAGACCAACTGGAGGTGTTTTCCCCTTCAACTATTGCAAATGCTAGAGGAAATACTTGAAAATTAGCATCAACACTTGTAGAAACCAAAAGTGTGCCTTTATATTTCCCATACAAGTGTGTCCCATCGATAGAGAGAACAGGCATGCAATGTTTTAACCCATCGATGCAAGGCTTGAAGGCCCAAAACACTCGTTCAAACACCTCCATGTTGCTGTAGTAAACGCCTTCAGCAATAGCTTTGTATTTCCATAAAATTATGGTGCCCGGGTTTGACTTTTGGAGGGCTTGCATGAAAAAAGGAAGTTTGTTGTATGAACTCTCCAAAAAAAAAAAGTTACGCAATAGCTTTCTGTTTGGCATACCACGTTCTTCGATAGGGAACGTCGAATTGAAATTTGTTGGAGATGAGATGTTGTATGAATTCAACTCTCAAACATGGATCTTTCTACACAAACAACTTCACATAGTCACAGATTATGGAGGAGTCCAAGTGTCGGTGATCGCTGGGCGGAACTTCATTCACGCAGTTCTCACGATGTGGGCCCTTGTAAGATACGATCTTAAAGACATGTGTGTTTAGATTTGTTTTTGTACCATGTAGCGACCAACCACACTCCCTCTTGCATTTAAGATGAAGGACATTCTCATTCGATGTCACCGTGGTGTAGAACTGATTCTGTTCTATAGAATACAATTTTCCATTTTCTGGAGCACTTTCTTACTATCGAAAATCATGCCCTTCTCAAATTCTCCCCCGACAACAAATGAAGTCTGGCTCCCCAAATCAGCCCAATACATGTCCACCTCATAGTTCTCGCTTATTTGAGTGAACCAAGGCAATGGAGTTCTAGCCACAACATCATCAACAGACAATTCGTTGTTTATAACTTCTTCCTCATCTCCGCCCTCACCCTCATCATTTGTATCCTCATACATATCAAGAACAGACAATTCGTCGTTTACAATAGGTTCAGCAGTCACCAAAGTTTGAGATGGTGTTGCTTGAACATGTTCTTGCGGCTATGCAACTGATAGGTGATGAAATGTTATTGTTTGAGGTAGATGGACCAGGTTGCTGCAACATTGACATCGGTGATAAAAATTGATCGTCGTGTAACATTCTACTGAAAGATCCCATTCCATATTCAAATGACAGAATGTTGTATGAGGGCATTTGTAACGAGCTTGTATTGTATGAGGGAAGATATGTAGGTTGTTGCTCTGTCAATCGAATAGTCTGTTGAGTACATAGAGGCACCATTTCCACAATTCCACATACAAATCAGCGGGAAGAGACCTCATTGCAACAACACCCCTCAAAACCTCCAAATAGTCATCATTCAAAACAGGTAAGATTTGAATCCCATTGGCACTCTCAAACCTCATTTTAATGTTCAATTCAACATTCGTTGGGTTTGAACCAGTTACAGTATAAACCTTCTTCAACAAATCATTGTAAGTCATACAAGGTTTCAATGCCAACGGTTCCATTTTTCCTCCTCTATACTCGACGTTCGATCCGACACACAAAATTTCACCCCCCCAACGGCATAAAAAAACAATCAATTGTGAAGCCATGTTCTACATAACAATCAGAACACATATTAGATGACACAAATACACAACACAACTAAAACCACAATGATTCCATTAAATCCTCAAGCTAAGCGTATATACAACATAGTGTTCAACAATGTACTTATTTACCTAGTTAATCAACAATGTAGTATATATTTAAATTTACCTAATTCAACAATGTAGTTCGTAAACATACTTGAAATATACATGATTTGAAATTAAACAACATACATATAAATGTACTTAATTTCAATAATTAAACAACAATGTGTAATGTAGTTATACTTATTTCGCATACTTGAACAACAACAATATAGTACACCATTGTAAATTACAAACATAAATTCCCAAAAAAACATCATAAACAAGTAAAGTAGTTAAGTTCAATACATAACTCAAATACGATCAATTTACTGCGTAAAAGTGTTAAACAAAGAAGAAGGAATAGTTTTTAGTGAGTATGATGAAGATCTAAGTAATGGGATGTGATGAATTTGCTGCAAATATGGAGGATTGGACGAGCAATGTGGCGCGGGTTAGGGTTTGGAAATTGGGGCTTTTCGTTTTCTTGAAGAACAATGAAAAAAATAACATCACACTGCCTGAAATACCCGATACAACTGGCATTTTTGGTACAACGGTAAAATGCCAACCAGGTTAGCGCTTTTGCCTTGACTGAAACTTTTTTAAAAAATTGGTCAGGTTACAAACGCCAGCCTGGTTGGTGTTTTACCCTAAAAGCTTAGTTTGGTAAATAGTTTTGCCACTCGTCTACTTTGAAAAATTGTTTCTATTAAAAGCCCACTTTGACAATTTTTCCTACAAAGTGTCGTTTGATTAACAAGAAAGGTCTATGTCTATCAACGTTACTAACCTTGGCCCCCTCCTTTCTTAAATAGATCAGATCATTTTATTTTATTGCAACACTTCCAAAAAATAAAAATTCACTCTACTTTTTACCTTTTATTCGTATATTTTTCCTCTTATATATGGTCTTAATTTTTTCTTTATTATTTCTTCGTATTCATTTTCAGTCACATTCATAATTTTAAAAAATAATTTTTAATTATTTAACAAACCTCACTCACCTATTGTTTTAACAAAACCAAAATTCATAAAACTTCTTGCCGGTTAAACTATTGCACTTTAAAAAAAAAATTACTCCGTATTATAGATGAATGTTGGAGACCTAGTTAACGAATACTCCCTAGGTGCCTTTTTAAGTGCTCGAGTTTGACTATACCACAATTCTCATACACCACCTTGACCAATATTTATGCTTTATATATGTTTTAAAGATCAAACATAGTCATATAAATACTTGTTAGAATCGTCTCAATGTATATATTTATGGATTTACCGAATATCAACTTTTTATAAATGTACTCATTATTAGCGTAAATAAAGATATTAATAATAGTTAAAGTTTTGCATTGACAATTGTGTTGGTCAAATTAGGGAAAATAAAAAACCACACATTATATATACACCCTAGGTGAACATAAAGGTAGGTCACATAGGTGCACATACATTTTAAAGTTTTTTTCTCGCTCATTTGATAATGCCCAAAGATTTTAAAATGAACAAGGGATATTAAATGAGCAGAAAATATCTTTGGACGTAAATAAGACAATCAACAAACTAAAAATAAAAATTAAGACAATTTACAAGGAATAGAGGGAATACCATACTAAACTTTTTATTTTTTATTTATAGATAATAAAATGTTATTTCATACGAGTACGAAGTATCGAAATAGTACCTATCACGAGTCAACTCGGTCAGAAAAATATCGTGACGTCATAGTTGCCATACGTATACGAGTAGACAAGATAGCGAAGTTGGTATGTCCTGGTAATCACTGATTAGTATTCTACGAACAAGTTGCAGTCATCTTAAAGTCATGACTACGATATACAAACTATGAAAGCTTCAAACATCAAACCAAACGAAAAGTCAAAAACACAAAACATGAAAATTGGAATGTGTACACACACAACTACAATGGCCAAATTGTGGACCCAAAACAAGAAAATGTATCAACATTTGGATTATCTCCAAATAAAATTTTATACGAGTGAAAATATTTCTCATACAGCATATCCAAAATCCAACCACTTAGTTTCAGGTTTCCGTTCTCTGTCCTACCTTTTCCATTTCCAGCTTATGTAAGAGGGTAGCAACTAGCAAGATAAAGACATTTCTGAATTATAAAAATAAATTCATTTTTTTTCTTTAAATAATTTTTTTGGACCATTTTCTTGCCATAAAAACCCATCTTTTTTTAATTTTTTCTTTTAAAAAAAAAGGAAAAACTCTTGGGAACTTTTGGTTTGTTACCTATAAAATCCAAAAACAAATCAAGGGGTGTAATTTTTTGTATGAAAGCTCAGATTTTCAAGCCCTTTTAATGATAACTGCCACCATCATCTTCTGTAAGCACAAGGTAATTAATTTGTCTACTGTTTTTATTTTGATTTGATGTTAAATGATGCTTGAAATTCTGATCATGGTGTTTTTTTCTCTTAGATCTTTAAGGGTAATTTTGTTGCTGATTACTGTATTTTTATGGTTTAATTTATTTGGGTTTCTTTGACTTTTTACTTTTAAAATGAGGTTGAGCTCAATTTTGAGTTCAAGTAATTTAGGTAAACTAAGTTGTAGTTCATTATTTCAATTTTGATTAAGAAAGAAATGATGGGTATTGCTAATTATGTTTTTTTTTTCTTCATTTTTCAGTTTGTGGGGGGTAATTTCATTTTATAATCATGATATGATTTATATTTTGGTGGGTTGAGAGAAAATTTTATACTATAGTTTTATGTTTCTGATCATGTGGATGGGTTTCTGCAAAAGCTGCTTCGATAATTTAATGTTACTTGGAAAAAAAATTGGATTTATATAATCTAGAGGATTGTGAGAAAATATACTTATATTACTTAAATTCCTGTATTAAATTCTGGGTACAGACAGTGTCTGGGGTTTATTGTATTAATAATGATTTGTCTCATATGAGCTTTGTAATACATCTTGCAAACAAGCAGATATGAGCTGTGGCTGCTTTGGAAACCCTTCTTCACAGAAGAAAAAGAATCCTGCTGCACATCTGAAAGAAGTAGACGGTAAGGTTACTAAGAAACATAATATTATCTTAACTATTTACTGCTTTTCATGTTCAATATTGTGTAATTGCTACAATATGTTGTAATTAAGTTGATTTAGTTCATGGTAAACGTGATAATGTTTCTCACTGACTCGCAAATGGTCAGTAGAAGTTATTTTAGTTGTCTTAGGATTAATTTATTTTATTCCCTGCTTGTAGGGAAGGGGTTTCTTGGTATTGAGCAGTCGAATGTAATAACTTCTTGTATTGACTTAATAACTTATGATTAGTCGAGGCTATCTCTATAACATGGGAATGTAGGGCCATTTTTTTCTGCCCCAAAATGTTGCAGTCAAAAGTACACAACTCTCACAAGTAATTTTAAAGAATTGGTTGAAGTGACATGATAAGTATAATACTACTGGAAGCACGCAAACACCTGAGGTTTCCTAGTTTCTGAAACCCCACCGTTTCCTTGTTAATGAAGCCTGGAAATGGCTGGAACTTAAGGAATTCCTGTTTTCAAAACGCTTCCTTAGCCAAAACCCAAGTCATTTTCGTGCTAAATAGATACGCAGACCAGAAAAAATATATATACCAAGTACTTTTGCTGTCGAAGGTTTAATAAAACCTTTTAGATTCTCAAACAATATTTTGATTTATGACTCAAAACACTCTTTTTTTATACCTCTCAGTGGATATTTCTGTAGGATTATATCTTGTATGTGTTCTACTTCTAGGTAGCTATCAATAATAATGGTTAGCTAGTACAAGGTTTGATCATAAAAGTCAAAGGTGGTCAGTTTGAGGAGGAAGGAGCAATTCTGGAACTGTTATATTTTCGTATGACACGAGTCACTATTGAATGAGTGATATCTGTTTTGTTGGTGTTATGACGTATGAGTGACTGGTTCAGTCGCAATTTCTCGCAAGTAGTTCCACTCTTTTCTACATATATCATACATGTCAATGTTTAGTAATTCTTTGATTGTATTGTGAGACGGTTCTTTTTGAATGAGTGGTTTAGCCATGTAAGTTGCACTTCATTTTTCCATGAATCCATGCACACAGAATTTATCACTCTGAATTTAGGTTAAGTTACTTCTTTCTTATTGATCTGGTTTTTACCTGTAAGTATTATTGTGACATTTTAAGAAGCCATTTTATCCCTTTTTTATTCAATACCTTTTCCCTTTTAAAGCTAATATAGTTTCTTTTAATTTTGTAAACAGGGCAGTTGCTTAAGAACATCAGACACTTTTCATACAGTGAGTTAAGAGTAGCAACAAATAATTTTAATTTGAGCAATAAAATAGGGCGTGGAGGCTTTGGAACAGTATATAAGGTAATCTGTGTATATCCTTGTGGTTGTGTTGTGGTTTTATGGTGCTTAACTGCTTAGTGTTTGGATTGACTGCTGAGTATTTTACTCTGTCACTTTTTCCCAAGTTGTCATTTAGTTCATCTCCATGCCCTCACACCTCCTATTTGTTTTTTCAAGTTCATTCTTAGTGCTGTATTTATACTCCTTTCTGTAAATATGTAGCCATACACTTTGTGAGATATAATTTGAATTGCGTGATTGGTGTCCCATGTATGCAAGTGATTAGTTGTTTTATTGTTGTTCAAATGTACTTCATCAAATATAATTGGTTCTCTATGAAGACTTAGTGTCACATGTTACTTATCGGATCTAGTTGTTTATTTTGGCTAGGGAACCTTCAAAAGTGGACTGCAAGTTGCTGTGAAAGCACTCTCTGCTGAATCAAAACAAGGATTGCGTGAATTTTTGACTGAAATAAATACTATTTCGAATGTCAGGCACCCAAACCTAGTTGAGTTAATTGGATGTTGTGTCGAAGGAGCTAACCGCATCTTAGTGTATGAGTTTGTTGTAAATAACAGTCTCGACCGTGCATTAATAGGTAAGATCAAAATTTTAATAGAATAAGCTGAGCAGCCTCTTAGTGATTCTTACTTGATGGTCTTTGCAAAAAAGTTTGTTTTAACTGTTATTCTATTAGGTTATACCAGTGATCGTAGTAAACTGAATTGGGATAAGAGGTCTGCTATATGTTTGAGTACTGCCAAGGCTCTTGCTTTTCTTCATGAAGAACTTGTGCCACATATTGTGCATAGGGATATCAAAGCAAGTAATGTACTCCTTGATAAAGACTTTCTACCAAAGATTGGCGATTTTGGGTTGGCTAAACTTTTCCCTGATGATATTACTCATATCAGCACCAGAATAGCTGGAACAACGTATGTATTCTTTACTTCGTCAAAGCTTTTTCTCTAATAGTTATGCTTCCATTCCTCTGTTCATATGACAGGAAGTGCTTGCTTAATAATATTGGGCTTGTATATGCATTGTATAAAACATTTGCAACTTAACCAAGTCATGGTCAATTACTCCATTTATGAGGTCCACACTTGTTAAGATCGGACTTGTAATATGCATTGTATAAAACATTAGTGACTTAACCAAGTCATGGTCAATCACTCCATTTATTAGGTTCACACTTATTTAGATCGGACTGGTAAAATGCGTTGTATAAAACATTAGTAACTTAACCAAGTCATGGTCAATTACTCCATAGTTGAGGTTTTGCACCTAGCCCATCTTGTGCTAAATGCTTAATACCATAATTATCTTTTTAGGTGGGGTGTCACCTTCCCAGTTCCCACTTTTGAGTTCAACTTGATGATTCGTGACCATTGATGATTCAGGATGAATCATTATCTAAGCTCTATACATTATTAGTTCATTGTTCTCACCTTAACACTGGTTCTGCATTGTCAATTCCAAAACAAATGGGATTGAAAAGGGTGAAAACTTGTGTAGGAGTCCAAAATTTACTCAATTTTTGGATTATGATGCAGCGGCTACTTGGCACCAGAATATGCTATGGGTGGTCATCTGACAATGAAGGCAGATGTTTACAGCTTTGGTGTGCTTATACTTGAAATAATTAGTGGTCAAAGCAGTTCCAAGTCAAATTGGGGTGGATCAAATAAACTTCTTCTGGAATGGGTATGTACATTTATTGTTGTACCTTAGCCTTTCCTTCGCTGTCTTTCCATCTCTTTTTGGCTGGTTTTTTATTAATGCTTAGACAACATAACTTGTGGCTTGGTAGTCTCATAATGCTCAGACTGTAGCAAACATCTGGTGCAGTTATTCTGCATTCATGCTTTATCTTTTCCCCGTCCTGTACTTTGATGCTATTTGTTTAGTGTTTCTATGCTTTCTGGTTGACCATATTGGTTACCAAGCTCATAGAGATGGTATGGTGTCATTCAATAGGCTTGGCAATTGTACGAGGAAGGAAGATTGCTGGAGCTAGTGGATTCAGAAATGGGGGAATATCCAGAGGACATGGTTATGAGGTACATAATAGTGGCTTTCTTCTGCACCCAAGCTGGCGCTAATAGAAGGCCGCTGATGAGTCAGGTTATTGAAATGCTGTCTCCGAAAGTACATCTAAATGAGAAGGAGTTGGCAGCCCCAGGGTTCTTTCCAGATACCCAAAAGGGTAAGACATCTGCTGGCTCTAGCTCTATTCACATTAGCTCTGCCCCCATCACCATCTCTGAAGTGATCCCCAGATGAAGAATGAAGTTGCACATAATTCTTTAATTGATTCTTCAAAGTATTGTTTCTCATTCTTTATGGTGCGCCCTTTCATGGCAGACACTGGCGCATAGATCCTATTTAATAATTTAATAGAAAGAGATTTGATATTTTAGTTTTTTCTAGCAGCTATCAGCATGAGAATGATGCATAATTATTTTGTTTCAGTGTAGCTACAAGATACATAACTATATCTGTGTTAAAGGACAGCTTGACAGTACACCATGATGCATCGCAATTATTTTTACTAAAAGAGCCAATTTTATGGGATTCTATATTGAGTGCTTTTATTTACTACCCTCGTTTCACATTATGTGCAACAATCGGGTATTTTTTGTAAGATATAAAAATTTTAATTGTAGAACATGATGTGAAACAGAAATAGTATTTATTTATTTATTTATTTATTTTATATTCTCTGGCACACACATCTCACAAGGGTCCTTATATTTCCTAAAACTGTTTTTCTAAGGTGAGAAAAGCCTAACTTTCAAGGACAGATGAAGTATTATTACCATATTAATAGTTTAGATTACAAACTTTGCCACTCTAATGCAAAATTGAAATGAATGTCATAAACTACAGCCTACAGGTGCAAGTAAACTGAAATTAAACAAATTAATTTGCTACGAAAAAATTAACAAATTGACATTGTTACAGCAAAAGTTCTCAAGGAGCAACAAGTTTCGAGTTTTTGTTAACACAACATGAAAAACAAATCCAAAACCTTGATACCAACTCCCCAAATGAGAGAACTAAAGAATATAAATTCTACGCCTGAAAAAAGACAGAAGTCTCATGGACTGAACACGGAACAAAAAATACATTTCTTTCTCCATAATACATGACATTGGGAGGATCAGAAGAGTGTGTAATTAGGATCCCGTATGAAAATAAAACAAGCAAAAAAGAGATTTGGACAACATATTCATGTATAATCAATCAAGCAGCTGCTACTGGCTCAGCTTCTGGAGTTGGCAGCTCAGCTTCTGCGGCTGGTTGCTCAACTTCTGGGGTTGGTTGCCCAGCTTCGGACTTTTGAGTACCATTGGCAGTAGCACCTTTTTCAGAACCGGAGGTCTTTTTTGTTGCATCTTCACCAGTTTTGACATTTTTCCCGCCCTTTCCATCTTTTCCATCCTTGGCAGGCTCAGGTTTTGGTGGAATCATATGGGGTGGGGGTGTATGCTTCAGCTTCACTAGTATCTGTCGCATCCTGCCCATATCAGTGGGTTTCCCAGGCTTTGGACCTTGGATAACAGTGATTGATGTCTTCTTCTCTTCTTCTTTCTTTCCTCTCCTCTTCTCGATGGTAGGAACCTCATGAGGAATGAGCTCAGCAATTGCTTTCCAGTACTGTTTATCTGCTTCTTTATGGAACTTCTCTTGATTCGCCAAGTATATCTGATCAATGCCAAGCCCATAGAACATATATTTAAAGAAGGGTGACATTGGCAATAAAGCAGAGCATGGCAGCATATATAAAGTATACCTTTTCTTTGTCCCTATTGTTCTTTATGTTGGTTTCAGTGTTAAGTTTTCTCTTCTCGAAAAATGCACGTTTGTACTCCTCAGCTTCTTCAATGATTTGCATTCTCATTTCCTTCTCTTTTTTCTCCTTTTCCTCCAGCCTAATGGCATTTTGACTGTATCACAATCACCATCCAAATTAAATTTAAACACTTCAAATATTTTCCTGGTAAAAAACTACAAATTCAAAAGTGAGTACCACAATAGAACATTCTTTCCAGATTACAAATTCTTTGCAAAGTAAAAAAGATCAGGCACAAAGGAAGAACAAATCATGTATTATCATAGGAGCATGATATAACTTTCCCCTACAGTTGTGCCAAGTGTGTGATTTTTTATTTTTAGGGGTGTGGGTGTAGGGGTGGGGAAGCTGTACAAGGACAGCCAAACTGTGTCACTCTATCACTAGATGTGTATCTAAAAATTTCAAGCATGATACAGATATTATACATTTTATTAATCACAGGCAGCAAATTTAACAGTAGCCTAGCTATTGGCATGTCATGATTGTCATCTGACTCATCTCCATTTCCATCAAATAAGATCACAGTTCTATTTCAAATTGCTCAACATAATAGTCCACATTTTACATTTAGTTTGGAAAACTTGCAAGTTATGGTAAACCCATTCCATAAAGGTATAAAACCGTCCAATCAAGAGGTCTACTATAGTGAGGAACAGACGAATTACCGGTTTTAGTCCAACTTCTTTATAATTACAATCATTATATTGTTCCCTAGTTTTAATTAGGGGTAAGTTTGCCATATGCTTTACTCACCCCTCATTGATAGGGACGTTATAGCTATCAGTCAACAGGTCATAGACTAGCTCAATAAGCAATTAGGTCTTGGGGATAACAGGGGGTGGAGATGTACCTCAGACGTGCTCTGTTCTACTAATTGTAACTTATTCCAGAAAAAATACATCAAATAAGTTTCAACAAGTCCAATAAGTTCCACAAGTTCAAATAAGATTTAATGGGTTCAATATACAACTACAACAAATCTAGAGAAGTCAAATACAGTTAAACAAAAAATTTCTCTAGCGTCAATGTGGCACCATATCTACATTCTTTATTATTGGGTGATTAGATAGGGCCTTGGGAGCAAAGTCTAAGAAATAAAATTAAAAGTTTTTGCAGCATTGAAGGCTTAAAGCAACAATTAACATTAGCCAATAAAACAACTGTTAATTATACATACATTACCTACCAATAAAAGTTAGAGATAGCCTTAAACAAAATCTAGACTCCTTTCTTGCCAGTTCTGTATCTTTTGTTATTCAACAACAAACTCCTTGCTTAACGAGGTGCATGTATCAGCTAATTAGTGCAATTAAAAGTTGTGAAAGGATTAAGCTATTGTATTTATCAACAAAGTCCATCAGAGAATGGTTTGAAGTTTCTTTCTTACCAAGATACAAGGTGATTCTAAGCAAAATCTACAATCCTTAAAATTCAATAAAAATTGCACGCTCACAAGAACCTCACTTAGTCTAAAATAAACATAAAATGACACTGAAAAGGAAGAGACATCTTTAGAAAGCCATCCTAGTTACACAAAGTGATAGAGACAATAAAATGTGATTGTGACAATAAACATCTTACCTTTTGCAGCACAAAGCTTAAGTTTATAATTAGGTATGTGTAGGAAAAATAACAAAACAGTTCAATTCTACGTAATATGAACTTTTATAAGTGAATATAAGGAATTAAGGATCAGTAACTTCTCGTATCACATTCTTCTTTTGGAGTATTAGGACAAACTTAGGCAACAACATCAATCTACAAAACAAAATTCTTCAATTACTTACACAGCTGTACAGCACAAAAGATTTGAACTACCTAAACTAACATGCTCAGACACCAAACACGGTGGAAAAATGGTGCACTCTTTTCTACACTTCAACCCTCCATCCTTTAATCTCTCCCATCTACATCAGGTGTAAGTGTAACACTAACTATCAAACAATACTGTACTGTAATAAATGATGTCAGAAACAGCCAATTATGCAGTCGAAGATCGTACTGCAAAATTTAGCAAAGCGGAATGAGCTTTTAGTGGTATAGTGAGAAGACTGTGAGCAGTATACAGTATGCGGAGAGATTGTAAATAGTATGGGGGGGTGGTCATTAAGAGGCTGAAAGGGAGAAGTAGTAGGGGATTCTTTTGAAAAATTATACATGAATTCATTACTTTTCATTACTGTCAGTAATCGAGTGTGCTCAGCTGCTTTACATAGAAAACATGTAAAGTGCCTAAATCCTTCTATATTATCCTTATCTATGTTACTAAAACAGGAACAGCTCACTCTTATGCTGACTTTTTAAAATTAAGGTTGAGGAAGAATATCTTTCCCAGAAAGGTAGATTTCAAGTTTTTGAAAAAGTGATTAAGCTGGCTTGCTCGGTTATGTCTTCCCGAGAATGGTAAGATTTTACTTACCTGAAGACTGAAGACAATGCCACATCACTCATCCCACGTCTAATGACTCTCATCTTCCTCCACTCCTCTATCCCCTGAAAATTACTCCCTTCCATCTCCCCAGTCTATTATTCCTCTCTAACATTCCCAGCAAGAAACCAAGCAATGAAAAAGAAGTTTTCAATTCCAAATCATTTCTTCTTAACCAAATGCGGCCTTAATTGAATCTTCATTAATAACACCTCAAGGATACTACTTTAGTAAAATAATAATTCACATACTCCTGATCTCATAGTCTGATGTTTGGGTAGTACCTCATGTAATAAAACCATATTAAGGAAGCATCTCATAAATTTCCCAACGAACCAATTAACAAACCAACGAATCCTAGAATTAAACTCCAGATAGATCTAACAACAAGATTCACTGCCTGATTAGCACAATTCAATTAAAACTGCCGCCACCGCAAGACAAATCTCATTTATGGCAATATCTATGAACTCTCGAGACACACGGAATCTTATCCCTAACCAATCAAGATTGTACACATTCTATGAAATTACTTCCCAAACAGATTAATAATACAATAATAAATTCAATCCCAAGCTTGGATCCAATTCATAATGAGAAGAATTAACGTCCAAATCAATTATAATCATATAGTGTTTGCATCTAAAGATTGAAATAAACACTCTACATCAACATTAATTCAAAATTCAAAACAAAACAAAATCATCAACATGAAAAAAAATCTAAATAAAATTCAATAATCAGATCTAACAAAAACAAAACAATTAAGATCAAATCTAAGAAATCGAAGCTCACCGACGCCACTCACGAAGAGCAGACCCTTCCTCATTCATCTGATCAGGAGGAGGAAGAACAGGACCATCAGAGGAGAAAATACCATCTTCATCAGCTCCCAAATCGTAGGGTTTTCCATTACCATTAGAAACAGGGATCGGATCATTGAACGGAGAATCAGCATAATTAGGGTTTCCACCAAACGGCATCGGAGAATCATCTTCGATAACCTCAGTCTCAACGGTAACCTCATCAACGGCGCCGAAGCCTGAGGAATCGAAACGTTGTGAAGAATCGAAGCCACCATAACCATCGTCGAAGGGATGATCGGTGGTTCTGAGCTCATCGCCATCATTGCTGAAGGTGTCGAAGGAAGACATGGTCACTATCTCTCTCTAGGTTCCTCTCTCCTTGTTGCGTAGTTTCTCGCTCTAGATTTGGCTCTCCAAGAGTAGGTTGAGAGCTCGGAGTGCAAAAATGGCGGATCTCTGTGATCTGAGGAATTTTACTGGTGCTTCCAAGTTTCTGAGTTTTTATACGACTACAAAGTAGTAATTATCGGTAGACTTTTATTTTATTCAAATTTTAAAAATAATTTGTTTTTTTGAAATTTTTTTTTATCAAATTTTATTTTAAAACAAAAATCTATTAGGACATACTTCCCGGTTTCAATGATATTGCACAATGAAATTACTCTTCTCAAATCACATTTTATATGTTAAATATCTATAATTGTATAAGAGTAAAAATTATAAAAAGTCGATTTTGTGAAAGTATTTTATGAGACGCATCTAACAAGATCCCACGTATATTTTGCTTAACATATAAATCATATTATATGGTCAAACAAGAGTGATAAATAGTGCAAAAATCTTATTGTTGCAATATTATTGGAATGACGGAAGTAACATTGTTGTTGACAAAAGTAACAATAAATTTAAATAGTATTTTGTGGTTTATTAAAAAGTGATTTTTTTTTTCTTGTTTAAATAGACAATGTCTAGCCAGTTTCGTCCTAAGTTAGTGTTTGTTGTCCGTGGTATATGGTTTGTCGTTTTGTGCTTATTTCACCTCAGTTTCAATCGAATTGCAGTATTCTCGCTCGATTTTTCTTCTATTATGATTGAGGAGTTAATCAAGAAATGGGAGAAGCTTCAATTGATTGAAGATGAGAATATCGTTGTAAGGAGGGATTAGAAACGAATGAGGAGGGCGAAACTGGTTTTGTGAATCAATTGAGATTGGCGCTGGTCGGGAAACTTTGCACCGTTAAACCGTTCAATGTTGAAGCAATGAAGCGTACCCTTACGAATGTATGGAGATTGAATGATAACATTGCTATTAGAATGGTGGAAATAAACCTTTTTGTGTTCCAAACATCCAATTCTTAAACGAAGCGGACAAAACTAGAATAATGGAGAGGAGTCTGTGGTTCCTTTATGGTTGCTCTTACTTAAGGAGTTGCTTGTTTCGTCATTAAATGTTTTTATTGTTTCTCATTTTAAGAGGGCAGAAAATTCAATAGCTCACCTAGTTACTCGGTAGGATAACCCGTGGGCCATGGTTGTTTACACTTGGTGAGTATGAGAACTCTTTCCCCAAAGCATTTTTACTCTGGCAGAACTTGATTTGCAATAAGTTTCTGCCTAACTTTCCCACAAAATTAAAAAGGTGAAAAATAATTGTCATTTCAATAAATATTTTCAAAAAATTTTAATTTTTTTTATGATTTTATTTATATAAAATTTAATGAATTAACCAGCGAAAATACACATTGTAAATCGTGCAAAATTTAAGGGGTGCAACGGTGGAATCAAGAAATGTTGGAACATAAAAGATTACTTTTCGCATTGAATTGAATCTTGATCAATTCTACTAGGTTGATATAGAAGGTTAATTATTTATTGCCTCATGATCATGTGTATACAGTATACTGTAGTTCATCCTTCAAATTGACTACTCATATGTTGCAATAACCTTGTTATTTGTTCCAATTTAGTAGACCTGCCAAACAATAAAGTGATCAAACTTAAAAAAATGATACAATTGTAGTTCATAATGATACTCAACTTGCGTTGCTCGAACATATTTGTTGAGCATTTTTTGTTAGACTTTCCAAAATCAAGCATGTATATAAGTCCATAAGGCAAATAATTTCATTACTTGCCCGAAAGAAAATGGGCATGTAATGACTTTATAAGTCAGCTCGACCTTCCAAATCTTGCTCAAAAAATGCAGCAACTAATGACTATTTTTCTTAGATTTTGTTTGGAGAATATGATGATCCTATTGTGCAACTAATACTAGCTATAATAATGCTATGAATATCATACAAGGCATATTATGATACATCAGAATGAAATTGGTCAATGTACTGGCTTCTAACAAAATTCAGCCAGGCCAAGTTTACCATTGTCAGATGTATATGTAAGCCAAAAATATGTATCTTCCCCGTCCTGCAAGCAAAGAGCCACCTTGACCAAAAACGCCAAGAGGAATGCTTGTTAACCAATCTTCTACAGCAACGAGTTTCAACTGTACATCATGCGTTCTACCAGTCAAGTATATACCCCTCCAAAGCCCTGGGGTGAAGAGACTATCTCAAAAGATAATATCCAACTCTCCAAGAGACTATACACTGAATTGATGAAGAAACTTCAGCATTTTTTCCATACGACCATTGAAAATCTCAAAATTGGACAAGTAGGAAACATGGTTTAATTTTGAGTCTAAGCATACACTCGACATCAAACTAACACAATTACTCGAGTTTGTCATGAAAATTTATGTATCCAAAGAAGGCCGATCGGAAAATTTGGGTTCTTGGGGGAATGAAGAGGGTCCCAAGATCCAGGCACCCAATGCTGGTGCCAGGTGTGGCATTACTGTACATGGCCACACCATGTAATCACAAAAGAGAGCATTGTATGTTCTTGGTTTCAAGGCACAGGTGATGCATTCCTTGGATATCTTGAAGATGGCATATGTTCTAAAACCCGAGAGTACTCTGGTTTTAGGCGTTTACTGGTCATCGCTTGCAACAACCTGTAATTCATATGATCAAACAGTGTGAAAAATTCTTATAGCAAGTCAATTCAATAGCATTGCCACAGGCTCACAGCTTATGAGGTACAATCAGAGCCTACTAAGATATTTTATTTTGTATTTTCTCATTGTAACCTAAGCAGCTAAGACTACCATCCCTTTCTCAATGCCGAAGTATGGAGTATCATCTTAAAAAAAACATACATCAAGAACTCATAAACTCAAGGTTCACTACCCTGCTCTATACTCCATTCTGAGATTATGTTAATTCAATTTTGATTTCAAATCTAATCACCCTGCCTGCCTTTCCTTGGCCATCAACAATATCCGTAACTATTCTACTAATAAGATTTGGGCATACAAGGCTAAACTAATTATACAGAAACGTCTAAGAGTACTTACCGCGGAGAACTTGGACGCTTAGTGTTTTGACCCAGCATGGATTTAAGAGTTGCAAGAGCCATCTCAGCGGCCTGATAAAAGGCAGAAAATGATTACATAATCTCCTTGATACAGAGGCCACACGATTCTAGTTCATTCAATCTGTCTCTTTGTGTGAAGGTGCATGTGTTAGTGTCTCTTAAGATATTGGAGGATTGCAAAAGACTTAACAGAAAGAGCTAATACCTGGATCTTCGCCTCATCCAATGTCGATCCTGTGCCCTTGCCCAGAACTTGTCCATTTACTTCCACCTACATAACAATTTAGACCAGAGAGACATAATCAATAAGTGAAACCAAGATTAAATCATTAGAACCTTGTTACACTGTCACATCAAAGAGATCTCCATTTTATTGGGCCCAGATACAAGTAATTTCATGTCCATACTCCACAAATGATCTTCAGTGTCCCATCCCCCCATGACTGCATAGTCAGACTATTCACAGGCCCCCTTTCACACACATGTTTAGTCAAGGTGACAAACTTTGCAAGTACTAAAAAATTTATGAGAAATTTATTCTGGACAGATAGAATAAAACAAAACAGGATCACAAGTAACCTCAAGCTAGATTTAGTACCTCCATGTGTATTTCATCTCTGTTGACTTGATTAGTTGAAGTCGGAGACTGACCTTTAAAATCCACATCAAGACCCTCTCTCATGCACTGGAAATGACAACCAATAATTCAATCATTAATAACATAATACTAAAACAGACACCAGGAATGACACGTGTCATTTCCTGGTGCTGTTTATTCCCTCCAAAACTCCCCCTCCCCTTTTAGCAAACAATAATCTTTTATTTTTGGAATATTTGTATAATACAACTATAATAATATTATTCCAAATCTTATATATTATCTTTACATAAAATGTATTTCTTTTTATTTCGTGTTCTTAATTATATTCTTCCATACACATATACCTAAAATATTTTCGTTGTTTGATTAATATTTTCATGTTTATTAAAAGACATTTATAAATAAGTCTTTAGTCATATAGTCACTATATTGTATAGTTTTATTGGGAATAATATGCATCATTAATGTAATATAATGTATATATACTACTTTAATTCAACACAACTAATCAAAAATATATATATATTTTTTTTTCTCAATTGTAGTTTTTATAAATTTTGCCTAATTATTTTATTTTTCTATATGCATTGCATTTGTTTATTCCACATGAGTTGCCTTATTTTTATATTATATCACAATTAATTATGGAAAAAAATTATTACTACCGTGCATCGCACAGGCACTAATCTAGTATAGATTAAAAGAGAAGGCAAAATTTGACGATAGACAAATATTACCACCTACCAATTCTTTAAGAGCAGGAACTGAGCCCATGGGGTCCTTAGAGCCAACTACAATAGAGTCATCCAGTCTGGTGAGCTCCGATGAAGGTACTGTCTCTTCTTTTCTTGAATTTGCATCACTAACAAATCCCATCTCACTTGGACTCTGACCCCTACTTGTATCACTTTGTGGTGTGCTAGCATCAGACTTTATATGGGTCAAATATCTATCTGCAATTAACAAGTATCAAATGCTCAGAATCACCAATAAATCAGATTACATATGAATCAAATATGTACAAGTATCTGCAATTTAGCAAAACAATCATTCGAAGGCAGGACAAAAAAAAATCAGTAGTGTAATTTAGAATTGAGTTTTTGATAATAAAAGCAGAAGATAATAAAAGCAGAAGGATTCCTCATTCTTTGGCTTTTGATATACCGAAACCCTTTACTTGATTCCACAATGAGATAAAGAGGGTCAGGAGAGAAGAAAACATTTTTGTAATCACAAAATAACCAAGTACAATATCGGCCAGAAGATACAAGTCATCCAAAGATGTAAGTGATGCAGAAGGGCATAATTATCTACTAAACAATATTCAATGTGAAATCAGAAATGGCTTCTAAAGCTATACCCCACAACATAAGGTTAATCAAAGGCAACAAGGAAAGCATCTAATCTCACAATTCTCACAATGAAATGGAAAAAAACTGAGGCATGCTGAAAGGGATGGAAGACGGATTGGTAATTTCGTATAGGTGTATAATAAAATTAGGAGCTTTATAGGAGTATAATAAAATTAGGAGCTTCCTTGATAGTGTGGTGAGTAGATAAGCTTTAGCACCAACCAAAAAAAAAAAAAAAAAAAAGAAAAAAAAATAAAGAAAGAAAGAAAGAAGTATTTGAGGATCCTCTACTTTGTTTCTTAGGAACAGGACATCATCTCCATATTAAAAAGGCAGGAATAGTATTTTGGGACAGCATCTCCATACCGGATATGTTATTGTAGCAGTAAAGCCAAATTTGTTGATATGTAACCCTCACATATTAAGGAATTTATAGAGAGGCAGAGAAGAAAATGTCATGTAATACAAAAAAAGATGGAAATTTTTTTCAGGTAACCTTACCAGCCAAATTCATCAAAGCAGCTTCTGCACAACATTGCTGGGCTTCCCTTCTGGTTATACCAGTCCCATCACCAATTTTCTCTCCAACAAAATAAGCCTACAAAATAATAAGTTATTGAAGTTATAGCAAGATTCATCAGGTCAAAAACATGAACAGACAATCCATTAAATTGAGAGAACACCAGAATTCAGACAACAAATCAACACCATCAGAAGAATTTAATATACCATGTAAGCAATAATGTCGAAAAAGACAGAAAATTAAAAGTAACTTTAATAAGAGAGCCTAGTTTATTCAGGTAGTTTCTCTTAATATCAGGTACAGCCAAATTATAAACAAGAACATAAATGAGAAGCTTTATGTTGTATGAAATTGAATTACAAAGATTACATACAGAATTCACAATATACACCACTAAAAATTACCCCCAAAAGCTACCAGTGCCAAGTAATAGTAGCAATTCTAACATTCCAATCCATGACCTTATTAGCATGGTTAGGCAGGTCAGGCAACAGTGTACTTTTTAGTATAAACCAAAGAACATCAGAATGACACATATTTTTAAGTTGGTTATAAGGAAAAACCGGTGCGATAGAAAGTTACAAAAAATGATCAATTCTAGCATAGTAAGATTTAAGACAGGTAGACAACCTCCATAGAGAACTTCAACTCTGGGGTAGCAACCAACCCTGGTTTAAACTCAACCTGCAATATTCATGTAAGTCAACATAAAGGTAGAAACAAGTGAGATAAATAAATTATTTGAGTCTCCTCAACCTCTTTTATTAACACCAATGTGATTACCTTGGTTCCCAACCTCATTGCAATGTCATGTAAAGCAGCTGAAGGGCTCTCTGCCAAAGTATTGCTTTTTTCAAATTCGACTTCAAAATCTTTGTTGCTTGAAGCTGATCGGCTCAAAGAGATTTCATCACCTTCAAAAGGCAACAACAACAATAATGAATTCAAAGAAGAAAAATCATCATTTACTAAATATTAATATCATAGGGCATGTATACAAAACAAAACAAAACAAAACAACAAAACAAAACAAAAAAAACAAAGGATTAATAAAAATAAAGGATCCTGCTAAAGAATGTCCTTGGGGCGCTGGATTTGATTTATATTTAGTATGGATTTCCCATATCCTTAATATTAGATATCTAACTTAATTAAAAGAAAAGAATCTTTCTAATTTCCAAAGTAGCAGAATATTTAATTTACTTACTTTTTCATAATAAACCATCCTAGTATTTACTTCGTATTTCTTTCCCTCTCTATATACCAATATGGTAGTAGTACCCAAGTTACCCACCCCCAACCAGTGTAGCCGCCTCTACCCAGAAGGCAGAAGCTACCGCCAGTCACCAGTCACCCAAAAGCTACCACTACCACCACCCACCCCCTCCATAGTCCCAACCACCACCACACAACCATGTCATAAACAAGAAAAAAGCCCCTCTTTTGAATTCGCACAGCATTTCCTTGCCCCTTAACATGGAAGAATCATTATTGGGACAGCGGTAAATCATCAACGGCTTCGCCGTCGATTATAAAATGAAAACCCTATAGAAAAGGAAAGAAAAAAGGGGAAGAATCAACCCTCTTGGGAAAGCTGAGATGACAACATGATGTTTTTGGATGCTATTTCCACAGGACAGAATTTGACACTAATTTCTTGCAGTGGCTTGTTGATTGATGGGTTAGAGACAATAAATTTTGGGTATGAAGATTTGGGTATGGTTTATGAAGAACCAATTTACAAGGAAAAAGGTTGGAGAAGAATCAATGGAGGTATTACAAGTGGCGGAGATTAGAGGGTGGAGGGGGGTAGATTTTTTACTCAAAAATTTTACAGTATAGGGATGAAGTTTTTGGGGGAAGCAAAATCGTGTAATATGGGTAGGAAGCATTTAATTTAGGCTGCAATTAATTTTAAGGTTAAATAAAAGTAGACATAAAATTAATAGTAAAAAATTTCTCATTTATTGCTAATAAGATTTATTTTTTATTCTCCTTAACAAGCACCCTGGAGGCGCTCATTAGCATTTGCCATAAATAAAAATAAGAATGACATAGATCCAGAATCCAAAATTCCAAATGGCTTAAACAGAAATCCATACATGCAAGTAGAATGTAACTTGATCGTGTCGTTAACAAAATTATGCCAGCAAGATTTATTGCTGATTTAGCACTCTTGTCCAATATGCAAACTTAGACCCAGAGCCAGCCTATATGACATTATGACCAAAAGTTCAAACAAGTCCCGTTTTCATAACATGCAATGCTATCAAGTCAAAAGACTCAAAACACTAGCTATTAAATAAGAAGGGATCATAAAGAAGCTGTGACGAGCTTAACAAGTCGGGAAGGAAAAAAAAGGCAGAATGTTTTCCTCCCCCTCACAAACACCATTAGAACAGACTGTAAGGATTTTCTTTATGTAAAAAAAGGTGCACCAAACCAATAAGTTAAACACTTTCACTTTAATCAACATGATCAACCACTATAATTGGAGAGAGAAAGAGACAAGTTACCAGAACAAGGAGGAATCCTGAATTGTAAATTATAAAGCTTCCCACATTAGTACATTAGAGAAGTACATTTCTAATCTTAACAAAGCAAGACAGACATGGACTACTCCGCTCTACGAAAGCAAGTAAAGTGACAACCAGAAAGTAAACTCATTTCTATATAACTATGATTATGTTGACTTATTTTTTCTGAGGAATCCAAGAAATTATTCGATTGTAAATTCATTCGTAGCATATCTTATCAACAACCAAGAAATATAACTCTATTCAATAAATAATCAGTTTAGCCTTTAGATATGAGCAATAATATACCATCTTCCCAAAGCAACCAACAACTCTAATGAGTACTATTACAAATTAAAACAGCCATCCAAAGCATGCACATGACAACGCTTTGAAAAGAAGATTGGATAGATTTAGTTACTCACAAATATACTTCCATGAAATATATGCAAACGAAGAAACAGGCAATTCACACAAGTAGGAACAGAGCAAGCACCAGTCACAAATCAAAATGCAACAATCCCACAATTAAATGAAGATATGCACTTCAAGTCAATAATTACCTCGAAATGACTGATGGCTAGGCACTGAAAAGTTTGACCTCAACCTGTCATCTCTGCGAGGAGCCTGCAGAAGAGAAACTCAGAATGAAACAAAAAAAGGAACGGTAGAATGCTTAAAAGCAAGTAGCATATACCTTAGTACACACCTAGATTTTAGGTCCAAGTCAAAAAGCTAAAACTTACCTCTCTCAGCAGTCTTTGTTTTTCAGGAAAAGAACGATCAGGCCAAACTGGACTCCCCCCTTTTCGTGGGAAAGAAGGGGGAGGTGGCCGCTGCTTCTCAACATGTACAGCATCAGGAGGTATAGAAAACTCTTTAGCTGGTGGTCGGCCCAGAGGACTCATGTTCATGTGATCCTCAACTTGAAACCAGCTCCCACGTGATTGTACCCGTTGAACAGGACCTGGAACAGGGCCAGACATAGGAACAGGACCTGGACCTGGAACTGGAACTGAGACAGAGACTGGAGCTGGGCTGGGACCTGCAACAGGCACTGAACCAGGGACCGGAACAGAACCTGGAGCTGCAACAGGAGCTTGAGCAGGAGTTCTTACTGGGAATGGAGACTCGTTTGGTCTCATATCTTGGCCATGCTGCAATATGAGCAGTCGTCTCCTTGTATCAGGATCTAGCTCAGATTCAGGTACTTCACCTTCTTCTCGAGCGGGAGAATTATGCAGCCCCAGGTCCTTAGGACCAATATTACCTAAAGGTCTAGTTAATGGACCTGCTTGTGAATATAGGTTACCATAAGGTGCAATGGATGCTTGGGGTGCAGAATGTGGAATTGTCATGGAAGCAGGAGCAACAGTGAACGGGATAGAAGATGCAAGCCTATGATCAAGATTAACATTCACCGAAGAAGTTGCACTTGGAAGTGACAGGGCTGAAGAGGATAAAACTGCTTCCTGGAGGATGAGAAAAGCCAAATATATTTTCATCTCGATAAGAAGAATAACATAGAAGATCAAAATTATAATGGACAAAGTCTTGAATTCCTAACTGTACCCAGAAAAAAGAAGAAAAGAAGCTGCCAAATCCCCTTAGTTGTCCCCCAAGGAGGGATAAATTACCTTAAGCCTTCTTTCAACCTCTGCATCCGCCATCCCGTCAAAACAAATTGGTTCTTTATTTCCATTGGAACCAGATCCATCATCCTGCAGGTAACGATGTTAACAACATGCCAAGCAGGAAAACAAGCAGCTGACAAATAACAGCAACGACTGTTGCCCATATACAGAAGCAAAGCAACAAATAACCAATAACAACAGGAGACATCTTCCAGGGGCCAGAATATATAAAATTAATGGAAAAGGTAGCAAAAATACCTCTGATACCATATAATTGCTCACGTCAGGTGGGGAAGGTAAATCTTTGGGATCATCTTCAAAAGAAACCTCAGACAACCTTTGTAAGAGACCCTCGTCAAATTCTCTGTAGTGAAACTCACATGTAAGCAGAAGTTTTTAGAAGAAGATATAACATAGAACAATGCAAAAATCAAAAGCCCTACTCAGTCCAGGCAATGATCAAAGGCTTTCTTTTTTTACTTAATAAGTAACAAGATAGATATATATCAAAATCATGTAATGTCCTCACAAGAACATAACCTTGATACAATTAATACTATTGGTATACAAATGGAAATGACTTACTTGAAAAAACCACCTCGAACATTGCAAGCTACATTTCTAGCCACACAGAGAACTGGGATGGCATTACTTGCCTAACATAATAAGACACATATGGTTAAAATGCTAGAATGTGAACAAAATAGATTAATAACCAATTAATGGCTCCATGACGACTTAGATATACATACCTCAGCTTGGGGTGCATAATAAGGAGCAAATGCAGGAACAACATGCACCCGAGGCTGATCTTTCTCATCCCACACCTTTAGACGATCATCAATCACCAAGGCCATTTTGGGATGACAAATTCCACCAAGGAAAACATTAAACAGCGACTTCTTTGATCCTATCAAATAAATGAAACATAGAAAATGAACAATACAATTCAACCAAAAAAAAAAAAAAAAAAAAAGTGTGCACCCTCTTATTGGCAAGGAGGAAAATTGGCAAATTTTACAAACCATGTTTTTTAACTCTTACCAGACTTGACACAAACAATGCGATCCAAAAGTTCCCTCCCACCTATCAAATTTGATTCAGGATCGAGAAGCCTCCACATTTCTAAAGCATAATCTCTTTCAGCCATTGTACAAACATAAACCTCAAAGCGTTTACGACCTCTGGCAGTTAGATAGCTGCGTAGATCCTCCCATGCAGGTCTTAATCTTACAAGAACACTTGTATCACGAATCTGGACACATGCATCAAATAAGCATTTGCCGAAACCGAAACAAAACAACTTATCAATAAAAATTCAGTTATCCACACACCAAAAAATTCATTGACCTAAAAGATAGCATCACCTATTCACATGTCAATGTTAACACACTCACAAGTGAAGCAAACACATTGGTTTGTCAACACTTGATCAGACAGAGATAATATGACATTAAATTAAAAGGGGAAAAATTTAAAGCAGTAATATCGGCCAGTTCAGCATAAACCACGTTATCAAACAGGCAACATACCTGAGGATTTATTCGAGTAAGGACAATGTTCTTATCCTGTAACCGAATAAGTGGGCGAACAACAGTTTGATGGTTGTCAGAAAGAGCTGGAATAACTTCTGCTTGAATTTTATAGACTTTCCCATTGTCCACCACCTGATCAGTTTCAGCATACTGCTTAAGTATTGCCTTGTCTTCTTGGTAGCGCTTCACTTCTGCTATCATGCCTGCCAATCGTTGCGGGTCAACTTCTACACCCATTTTTCTTTGCAAGGCCTCAATTCTATCTTCGAAAGAACGCAGTGTATTTGCAACGATTAGTGTCTCATCAAGATCAAATACAATACCAAGACATCTAAGATTTAACATCCCAAGACAAGATTCATATAACCCTGGCATGACACAGAAACCCCAGAAACAAGCGGCTGTTACACCATCCGTTCTTCTAGTACGCATTGCCACCAAATGGATCTCCTGATCACCAAAGGGCACCACAGCAGTCTGCAAAAAATTCACAAGAATATAATACTACTAGTAATTAATATATACATGTATATGGTGCCTAGCCCATATTACAGTCACGCAAACCATGAATCTCTACACCATTCCAGTCCATAGCATCATTACCTCAAAAGAATTGAACCCACAAATTAGGTTTTTGTTTTTCTCCATATCATTTTCCTCATAAACACTATCAAAGAACACGAGCTGGCCTTCCGTTTCTCCAGTTATTTCAAAGGTTCAATCTTTTTTAACCCAATACAAGTTATTTTTCTTTCTTTCTTATCTTTTCTTTAATTTAACATGAACCAAAATACTAAACGCAAGTCCAAAATGTATTCAATCCAGAGTCAAATCAAAATATCCATCACAATCCAAATTAGTACAGTTGTTCAGATAAAATGGCAATCACTTTAACCCACATTCTAATTTTAATAAAAATGGACAGCCAACCCAACCAAAAATAAAATTTCCACATTCCAAATTCCAAATTCCAAATTCCAATTTATATATCCCACAAGTCCACTTATTATTATTAATGATCCGAATTCATTCGTGTTCGGTTCTATTCGCGGTAATGAATCGATTGAGTCATAAGTTCTTGTTGTTGTAGTTTGGTATTTTTGTTGTTGGATGGATTAGGGGTTTTTACCTTGTTACCTCTGAGACAGGTAGAATGCAATGCAAAAATCTGGGAATCTTGTTGTTGATGTTGTTGAAAATAGTGCAACTTCTCCATCATTTTGAAAGAAACACCACCTGATGATTTTGTAATAGTATGAAGAACAGCAAGTGGTGGACATCTCTCACTTGCTTGTGAATAATCACTTATCCTCAACCCCTTCATCAGTAATTCTATGTTGTTGTTGTTGTTCTCAAAATAAATCTCTACTTCACCCAGTAGATTATCACCTTGGTATACTACCGTTTTGATCATTGTTTTTGATTCAATTTTTTTTTTTTTTTTTTGTTACTTTTTTAAGAAAATTAAAAGAAAAATCAAATTGTAAAAGAAAAAATTAGGGGGAATTATTCTCTGACTTCAAACTTTTCTGGGTTCGAATTCGATCTGGATTGAATTAGGGTTTCTGAATTTTCAAATTTCTTCGTCGTCTTCTTCCGACAGATTCAAAATTCAACATGTAAACAAGCAGATCTATCAAATTCCAAAAAAAAAAATTAAAAAAGAAAAAATCCGTAAAAAAAAAAAAAAAAAGAAAGAGGTGAAATTAGGGTTTGTAAGTGAATAATCTGGCCAATTTTTAAGCAGATCTGATCTGTAAGAAGGAACAATGATCAAAAACGCTAGCGTCAACCAACTCAGATGGATCAAATTCGATAGATTTAGTCCGTCATATGAAGATTTTTATTAGGGTTTTTGATAATTTTTCTCTTTCTATTGTAATTTTTGTTGATGATGATAGTATGATGGAATCTTCGGCGACATAAAGAGGAAAACAAAAAATTTATGAGAGAGAAAGTGGAGAGAGAAAAACCCTAGTTTAATCGAAAGGAGGTTAAATTTGGAACTCCAAAAAGCTGTGGTTGAGGGTATTACAATTTACAATTTTTAAGACATAAAATAAACTTTAGGGTACTCGTATAAATATATAGTGATAATTGTACTTGTGTTTCTATGTCCTTTGCTAGGCTAGGGGGGTTTTCCTTCTACCACTAGTTTTTGGTTTCATGAGCGTTACGTTTTAGGTTCGCTGCACATAAAATCTGCGCCTGATTATGCTCGCACTTGCACTTAAAATTTTATGCTTAATTGGACGTGATATTAATATCACTTATTGAGTTGTTATAGTTGTATCTAGCAAGATAAGGTTAGATATGTTATTATCATCTTTCGTAAATCATAAGACAGTATGAAGATAATTTGTTCACTTACCGGTATGATCAAAGTCTTTTGTTTTAAATGACTAAAGTTCACTCTTACACATAAAAAGGATTAATTAAGGCTATGTTTCATAGATTGTTTGTTCATATTATTAATAGTTTTTCATTTGGGTTGCTTTGCAGTGGATTCAAAATCTACTTTTTTTTTTTTTTTGTCACATGAGTTGCAGATGATTTTTATGGAAATGTTTGTATAATGTTATTTATGGTTACAGTAAGATCCATGCGAAAACTGAGCATGAAGAAGAAGATTCGATGAAAGTGTTCGTATAATGTTATTTATGGTTACAGTAATACTAGGTAGTGTGAGTGACAAGCTTGATATTTTCTCAATAGTTAAATAGAGGGAAAAAATAAAACAACAGTTTTGAAAATTTTGAAAACTTAAAATTAAATCTGATTTTAGTTTTAATAAAACTAATTATGGTGACGAACAAGGCCTAAATGATTCCTAATGGGTTTTAGAAGTTGAACTTACACAGTTTGCTTGAGCAAGGTAAGATAGCCTCCTTAACAATATGGAGTAACAATCAATGTTTAGTTTTAACATATTTTGCCACAAATAAAGATTGCAAATTTGTATAAAAAAAAATTAAAAAATAAAGATTGCAAACAGTTAGGTTTATGTCACCATTTCCAAAAAAATAAAAAAAATAAAAAAAATAAAAAGACCGATAAATAGATTATGTTTTATGTTTTGTCCTTACATTTTTAAAATACTTAAGAAACTATTTACTTGCAACAATCCTTAACATTTTTTTCGCATTATATTCCATTTACTTTTTTGTCTGGAACCTTTTTGTAATAAATAATTTGATGGTTGTAAAATGAAGTTGTTACCTATCTGGTACAAATGTGAAACCGGTAAAATTGTTAACAACTTACATTTTTAAAGATTTTTCCCATTTTCCTTTTATAATTAATACCCTGATTCTCCTTGTCAAAAGTAAGTTGATGGCATAAAAATGAGGTAACTTTAACTTATTTGACACAAGTATGGACAACGGCGGATCCAGGTTCTATGGATAGTGGGTCACCACCATCCACCGACTGCCATAGCAATCAATAACAATGCATTGTTAAAAAACATTTAAAGTCAATATTTCATTGAGGTTCATTCAATGAGTAATCATCCCTCCCATATTCCCCTTACGCAGCTCCGTCTGTAAGAGGAAGTTGAAAATTAGATTGGAAAATTAGTCTTTAAAGAGAACCAAAACTAGAACTTAGTTACCCGGATCAGCCCAAGAATTACCTTGCGGAAGAACCTCATAATCCGACACAAGATTTTACCATGAGTACAATTTTAGAGACGCGACACGATGATTAAGGAGGGATATCTTTCTATACTTGTATATGTATATTTTATAAAATTTAAGATTCTTCCTATATTCCATTTTTATTTGTTAAGTTTTGGCTTTTATGATCAACTTTTTAAAATTTTGACTTTAAAAACTATTGTAACCTTTTTGTTTTTTTTTTTGGGCATTATATTTGATTTGAAATGTATATTCAAAATATCAACTTTTTTTCCTCGATATCAACTTTTTAACATTGTTTTCCTAGTATTAAAGCTATAATTTTCATTTTCAACTTTTTGGGATGCAAGCTTTTTTTGAAAGATTTTCATTTTTCCAAAGAAGATGATTGAGTAGGTTGAAACTTGTTGTAGAGTAATTTTGTGGACTGGTGATATTGCTAATTTAAAAAGCTCTAGTTGCTTGGAATAGAATATGCTTACCTAAGTCTGCTGGTGGCCTGAACATTAAGAATTTGGCTAACTGGAAAAAAGCAGCAATCTCTATTCCTTTCCTTTTCCTACCAATTGCTCTTAGGCAATCAAGAAAATTATGTCTTGCAGAAACTTCATACAGCACATTGGAGGATGGGATAAGGTGGTGCATAAGTGTTTGCAAGGTGATTTTTTTGTTGAAGTACATTAGAGAAGAGTAGTTTATAATAATCAGGTTAGTCCTAGGAGTATCCATATTACATGGTTGGCATTTCAGAACAAGTTATATATATGCTACTGACAGGCTTGGGAGTGTCCTGTGATCCTATACGTGCTCTTTGTCGAGCCAATGCTGAATCTGCTTAGCATCTTTTTCTTTGCGTGTTCTAAGTCTGCTGAAATCTGGACTTGTATTTTGAGGGTCCTGGGTTGCAATAGATCTCTTGAGCACTTGAATTTAGAGTTGGATCAGACAGTGCAATTAAAGCTAGCAGAAGCTACAAGGTTTCTTCTAAGCTTTACTGAGGCCATATATCAGATTTGGAGTTACGGGAATGCTGTAATTTTTAGAAATGCTAATAGGATCAGAGTGATATCAGTGTTTTGAAGGATACTATCTTCCATGTTGCTTGCAGATGTTCTTAAGCTGATGGATGTAGATTACTTTTGCAAACAGCAAGGCTGTCTGCTATTAGCTGCCTTTGCTGATGTTGTTTTGAGCTAGGCCTTTTGCTGTAACTTTGGTTACACTTTGGTAATAAAATCTCTTATTATTTTCCAAAAAAAAAAGCTAGAATTTTCCAACCAAATACAATCAACATAAGCTAGAATTCTAAGTTCCTTTCACCAAAGTAAAAACACATCAAGTGTAGTATCAAAGGCCAGGACTAGAGGAATATTATGCAGAAGCTTCGGAACCTCATGGGATCGTTCCACTGTCTCTCCGGTGGTTCTTTGGAGTCGAGCTGAGCTTGATCCTTTTTTTTGCAGTTTCCATATATTTTCCAGGCTTGTGGGCTTGTAGCTTAACCAATGTAGTAGAATTGAAGTTGTAGCTTTGTAAAGCAATACTAGTTAGCTTGCTAATTCCAAATAGGACCATCTATTTTATACCTGATCATTAATTAATAATTTTTTTTTTTTTATCAGATATTCACATTAATACTACAAGTATTTATAATATTCGAAATCAATATCATTTAGATATTTTTCTCACATATACACGCATCAAGTAGTAATTACTAATTGTCATATATGTATATGTTTTTATCGTAAGTACCTGTGTAAACCTAACAAAAAAAATTCTTTACAAGAATTTCATTGAACATGTAATATTACGTATAATATTAGTCTCCAAAACAAAATACAGTATAGAGTACATGATAAATTGACAACCATGACAAATTGACAATGAAGAAATCTACTAGCTTAGTATGTTAACTTTATCAAATTACTTTACCAAATTGCTGCATAATCCTTACATATCATAACAATTAAGGGAAGAACAATTTCATAATAAACTAACGTTTATATTTTGTAAAGAGAATCAAAAGATCTCCAAAAAAACCATCACTAACCAATTAGAAAGATTACTATAACACAAGCAACAAATTAAACGCTAAGCAATCAAAGCTCCTCACCACGGCCTTGCGACATCGTATCCTGGCCCTCACCCTTGGCGCCATCCAAACTATCAGTAGCTTTCTTTTTGGCACTATCATACCCTTCCTTGGCCTTCTCCTTGGCCCAATTTAAGTTTCCTTCCGCCTCGGCCTCCTTGAACTTCGCCTCCTCGGGTATCTTAGTCCCCCATTTATTTGCCGTCTCCTCCGCATCTTGTTCTGTTTGGGACAATGTTTCCTTTGCTTGCTCAACCTTTTGGGCTATATTATCCTTGGCCTCCTTAGCCTTTTGGGCTGCTACTTCTGCTTCTCGTTGAGCCTTGTTTTTAACTTTCTTTGAGGCATATTCTACATCATCTTGGATTGTTTCCTTTGCATCTTGAGCCTTCTCGATGGTTGCGTCTTTCATTGAAGCGGCCTTATTAGCCGCCTCACTAACAGTTTCATAGGCTTTTTCCTTGGCTTGTCGAGTTGTTTCACTTGCCTTATTTGATACCTCTTCAGCGTTGTCTCGGGCCTTCTCTGTGGCAGAGTCCTTGTACGATGATGCCTTGTTAGCGGCTTCTTTGGATTTCTCAAGAGTAGCATCTTTGACATTTGAAGCCTTCTTAGCAGCATCACTAGCTGTTTTATATGCTTTGTCCTTTGCTTGCCTAGCCGTTTCACTTGCCTTATTCGAGGCCTCTTTAGCATTGTCTCGAACTTTGTTTCCCACTTCTTTAGCCTTATCAGTGGCAGAGTCCTTGAACGATGAAGCCTTGTTAGCAGCCTCATTAGCTTGCTCATATCCTTTATCCCTTGCTTCTTTGGACTTCTCAAGTGTAGCATCTTTAACATTTGAAGCCTTCTTCCCTGCCTCATTAGCAGTTTCATATGCTTTGTCCTTCGCTTGTTGAGTTGTTTCACTAGTTTTCTTCGACGCCTCTTCAGCATTGTCTCGGACCTTGTTTCCCACTTCTTTGGCCTTCTCAGTGGCGGAGTCCTTTACTGATGAAGCCTTGTTAGCGGCCTCGTTAGCACGTTCATATCCTTTATCCCTAGCTTCTTTGGACTTCTCAAGAGTAGCATCTTTGACATTTGAGGCCTTATTGGCTGCTTCATTTGCAGCTTCATGTGTCTTACCCTTTGCTTGTTTACACTTCTCCTTTGTTTCGCCGGATGCTTCCTTGGCAGCATCAGACATATGTTCTCCAGTATCTGCACGCCCAAGAGACATACATCAATACTATATATATGGTCTGCATCATGCTAATTATTTGATCACATACAGTGTACTGTAAGAAAATCTTCCATATATACAACCATATTTTCTTCTAACTTAACTAATCGAGACATAATATATTCTACTCTAAAGATAGTACTATTTCCCCCAAAATATATAAACAAAAGTAAACTTGATCTCATGGTAACTTATTTTTCTCATGGTAACTAATATTTACGCGGATTGTTATAATTTATAAAGCAATCTCACAAGACAAACAACATAAATCAAATCGAAATTTCAAACTATTTTAAATTTATTATAGTCATGATATAACTATGAATCCAAAGTCCAAACTATTGATCTCAAACCCCTGTATCAACGCACATGTATAATCCAACTACTAGCATGAATCAAACAATCAAAATTTTAAGACAGTGTTAAACCATATAATTTTACTGTTCTACATATATATTTTATAAAGACCCTCCTCACGAAGAAAACTCCACGCCGGTACAATTACTAGTACAACTAAGTATATATACGTACCCGTAACGACTTGGTCGATATTATCTTTATTGGTTGTGTCCGTATTCTTCAAGCCGAGGCCCTTTTGAATTTTTTCCTTAGCCCATTCAGTCCAAGGGGCAGCCTCTTCAGAGACCTCATACTCTGCTTGATCCATACCATCTTTTGCTGCTTTTGGATTCCCTTCTATCTTATCCACCGCCGCGGTTTTCCCTCCATACGCTACGCTAGAGTTGCTATCGACTATCACCACTGTCGCCGCCGCCACCACCACCAGTAGGACTACTTTTACCACCGCTTTTGACCACTTAAAATCCGCCATATTTCTCCCGTAAAATATAGAAATGGTTGGAATAATGGAGTATGTTTGTTTTTGTAGTGTTTAAATTAACTGTAAGAGACTGTTGTTTAAGTACATAAAATGTTTAAGGCAGTTGATGGGGGTACAAATAATGATATGTACGTATTTTAGAAGGGGTTAACGTGTTCATGGGATGGACACATGTCCTCTTATCAAGCGAAGTTGTGGTGTCTTCGTGTCACTGTGAATATGTGACATATTTTTGCCGCTTTTTTTTAAACAATTTTTTTTTCCTAATATATTTCAGCTTAGATTTGCTTCTATTTATATTTTCACAATATTAATATTTTTTAAATAATTTATATTTAATAATAATTAAAGACATAATCGAAATATTAATTGATAAATGCATAATGAAAATTATAAATAACATGTACGTAGTATAAACTATACAAGAGATCATCTTAATTAAAATCAAGAGTGAATTCGTTTATATTTTTCGTAGTATGTCGTAGCTCTTAGTATAAACTATACAAGAGACTATCTTAATTAAAATCAAGAGTAAATTCGTTTAGATCTTTCGTAGTATGTTGTATCTCTTAGTATAAACTATATAAGAGACCATCTTAATTAAAATTAAGAGTAAATTCTTTTATATCTTTCGTAGTATGTTGTAGCTCTTACTGTTATGGTTAAGTAAAAAAAAGCACCTAATTAATTTATAATTTTAGTGTATGATCTGAAGAAGTCATAGCTTATCAACTAAACTTGAAAGTTATATTGAAATATTGCCATATTGGTGACAAAAACTAGCAGACCAAAACAATAAATCTCGTCCAATAATATTCTGGATTGGGCAAAGTGCACTGATTAACCTACTGTAGAAGGAAGTGTGGCCAATGAAACACGTATTACGTATAGTATATCATAGCAGCAGTTTAGGTGTAAGGGATAATCTAACATGTGACATGTCTGTAAAGTTTTTAGCATTCATAACTTCATTCTGCAAACCCACCTTACAATCTTACATTACTAAATAAAATATGAACCAATTGACAAAGTGAACTTCATCTTTATCTCTTAGGAAATTAGGATGCACGTAATTATAAGTTTCGATGAAATCATGTGAATAGAATTAGTGGCGAATATATATATTCAGGAATTCCAACATAAATACACACCTTAAAACTAAATACATTGTAGATTTGATTAACAATTGCCTTAAAAAAAACTTCATCTGAAGCAATACAATCTGTGAATTCGCACTGATTCGGCTTGAAATCTCCAGTGATGCGTAGTCGTTTGAGTGAAAATACTCATGTGGTCCTCCCGATTCTTGTTGAGATTAAGAAACCCTAGATCTTCAATTCTCGCCATACAAACATAAAAAGAAAATAAACTCAAGAGAAAAATCATCATCTCAAGGATGAGATCTATTTATTGAAAACAATTAAAAGGTTTTTGGGGCTTACCACTGGTAAGAACATCAGTAGAAGCCCCTACAAAGATTCACAACTGAGACCAAGAGGAAAGAGATGGTAGAGATGGAGAGAAAAGGGATAAGAGGGAATGGAAACCTTTAAAAAAAATTGAAAAAATCTAGCAATGGAGGCTAGGAAAACCCTCCCAAGGGAGAAAACCTAGAGATAACTAAAAAAACCCTCCCAGGTAGGCCTGATCACTAAGCCTGAGCAGGAAAATCCGAAAATCCGATCCGTAAGATCCGTTTTTTAGGATATCCGATCCGATTTTTTTCGGATCGGATGTCGGATACCGGATACCAACTCGGATAGTAAATTTTCAGATTTCGGATATCCGATAAAATCAGATATTGGATATCCGATATCCGTATCCGTATCCGATTTGATATCCGAAAATTAAGCTAGGCTTGGCTTTTTGGGCCTAAAATAGTAAAATCTAAAATGTGTAAACTGTAAACCCTAAACCCTCAATCCCTCATACTCATTTTCTCTGTCTCTCGCGCGCTGCTGCACTCTCTCTCTCTCTTAGTCTCTCTGCCTGACTCGGTGACTCCTCCTTCTCTGCTTCTCTCAACTCTCATTCTCTCTCGTCGGCAGCCGCCCTCTCTCTCTGTGACCGTCTCTCACGCGCCGCTGCCCTCTTTACCTCCTTTATAATATCCGAAAATTCAGTCATACTCATTCTCTCTGTCTCTCGCGCGCCGCTGCCCCCCCTCTCTCTCTGCCTGACTCCTCTCTCATTCCCTCTCGCCGGCCGCCGCACTGCTTGACTGCTTCCAACTAACGCTCGCTCAGGTAAAACTCCATCTATCTTTACAAATTTCACAACTTCTACTGAAATCAGGGTTTTCTTGAATAGTTGAATGCTATTTGAAATTCTGAATTAGTGAATCACCCATTGATTAATTTGTGTATATCTATTGTGTATATCTATTGTCTTGCTCTCCAGGTTTCTAATGCTTCATGATTCATAAAAGATGCATTGCATATCTCTGTCACTATCTACAAATTATTTCCCAGTAATACAGAACTAATTATGAGTTACTGTTATTAATATGCAACATTCATTATAATGCACAGGCTTATTATTATTTCATATTCCAGTTTTTATCTAGTTTGGTTAATATGCATCTGTTCATGTAGCGGTGTAATTGACTAGAGGTATATGTTTAGGGTAAAATTACCCATGACAAATGGACCAATCCGGACCTGCCACGTGTCCACCACATGGGCCAATCAGCGTCCGCCACTTGTCACCCTAAGAGGTCCAACATGGACTAATCAGGTCACATCATGCGGCCCATTATTCGCCAACCTGGAAAACGGCCATCGCAGGCCCAATTCCCGAGGCAAGCCCAATCAGTCCTAGGTTTTCCCAGAAAACCTAGTATTAGGCACGTACTTCGAGGCTATATACACATGTCATTAGCCTCCATAAACAGGGGGAACACTCTCACCTAGAGAAGTCTAAACACATTGATCACTCCTCACCTAGAGGAACCAGATCTCCCACCTTTACTTTCGGCATTTATTACTCCTCAAACAAGTACTAACTTGACCGTCGGAGGCGGAGCTCCCACCACAAGGTGTCTCCGTTTGTTTTGCAGGTACAAGCGTCCGGTTCCAGTCTCGGAATTGTAACTCTCCCGCAGGACATCAGAAAACCCCGAAACATTTGGCGCCGTCTGTGGGGAGAGTACTTCTGAGATGGCATCCACGTCTATACCGACTCCTGAAGAGAGGCGTCCCCTAGACGACCCTCAAGTTCAGTCGGACCATGATACTGAGGAAGAATTTGAAGTTGAAGCTCACACAGCTTCAGACGGGACCCTAAGGGCCCGGCGCACCCGTCCTACCGAAAGGAGGGAACGAGAGGCTGGTCCCAGTCGGCCAGCCGGCCCACCGCCCGAGACTCAGCAGGCGGCCGAAGGATCTGCTCCTATTACTAGGAATGAACTCATGACCCTCATGAGTAGTTTCAAGGGGGAGATCCAAGACTTGATCAACCAAAGGGCGCTTGTTCCTGCAAAGGAACAGTCGGCCAGATCAAACAACTCCCAGTTGAAGTTACATGCGCCTCGCATGAAACTACTGGGTACAACCGGCAATATACCAGCCTCCGTGCATCCGGCCAGGCGGCCAACTACTGCAGGCGTCATACGGCCGAATGCAAAGAGTCAGACGGTCAAGCTTCTCCACCTAAGAGCTCGACGCACCCGTCCCATCGAAAGGAAGGAACAGGGAGACTGCCTGGCTGAATCTAGTAAACCAGTCGGCCCGCCGCCTAATCATCAACAGGCGGCCGAGGGATCTGCCCCTATCACCAGGAATGAACTCATGACCCTCATGAGTAGTTTCAAGGGGGAGATCCAAGACTTGATCAACCAAAGGGCGCTTGTTCCTGCAAAGGAACAGTCGGCCAAATCAAACCACTCCCAGTTGAAGTTACATACGCCTAGCACGACACTCAATGGGTACATCCGGCAAAATATCAACCTCCCATCATTCGGCCCGACAACCAAGTACTACAAGCGTCGTACGGTCGGATGCCAAGATTCGTATGGATAAGCTTGTAAGCTATTATTAATTTTATTATCAAATCATTATTATGATATTGATTTTAAAATAAAAAAAATCATTATTATCAAATCATTATCATACGGCCACATGCGCCTAACTTACTGATTTTGTATGGCAAAGCTCCACCTAAGAGCCTTAGGTGGCAACCTACTACAAAGTTAATCTTAGCATTTGATATTATCAAGTGGCATAAGTAGTATCATAACTACCAGCCCACATCGCTATATACATAGCCGGCTCCCATGATGCTTGTCACGAACAGCTTCCTCGGTCGGTTGTTCTACATGTCTAGGAAGCCTGCTGTTTTTCCTTCGATAAAGGCCCGACTGTGAGTGCAGTAGTGGCATGCCAACATCGAGCCTTTGAGCTTTTAGGCGGCAACCATAAGAGCAGCCCTCATTCTCGCATAAACAGCCGGCTCTATATGATGTTTTATCAAGGTACAGTCGCAAGGTTTTTGCTCAAAATATAATGCCAAGTATACTTGATACAAATGAGTTTGGTTCCAGCTTGTTCTTCCAAAAGCAAACAGCCAAAATACCCGCACATATAAAAATCTCTCGGCCTGCCGAGAGGAGTAGCGTTTGGCTCGTAGTAATATAATTGGCCATGAGAGTGAATGCTTTAACTTGTTCATGTGCTAGTCTCTTATTGTGAAAGCTGGGCATTGGCGTCTCGCCCAAGGAAGCAGGCGGCCAGATGACAGCCGGCCTAGTCCTAGCCACGAAGCATGACAAATCAGCTAGCCATGCTAATGTAGGCGACACCTAAACAACCAGCCCAATCCGAGCCACCAAACAGCCGGATTGATCACTTCAAAAACAAGCAACTCAAAAGGCCGAGACGAATGAGTTCGTGTGTATGTAAAAAATAGGCAGCTAGGCAGCTGTATTTATGTATGGGAAGCATTGAAACCGGCTGTTTAGCCATCAAGTAAATCCAACAAACCACTTGTCTTTCATGAAAGCAGGCGGCATCCACAGCGAACGCATCAAGCAATGCGTGAGGTGATATGGTCTTCATGTTTTGTAATGAGGGCCGAGTCTTGAATCACTTTGGTCTAAATAATGCCCAACATGATCAAAACATAATTAAAACAAGCGGCAAGCTGATCATACGGCATCATGTAGCCGAATAAAATTTTGAAAGTTAGCTCCATTGAGAAGAGCAACTCGGCGTCCTTACCAAAGCACCATGTAAGCTCAAAATGAGTGCCTTTTGAAAATTCATAGTATCATGGGTAAACATCAAGAATCAAACGACACATTGCTATTGTTTGTAAAGAAACAACCACCATGTGTATGCAC